TTTCTCAAAATAGCCCATTCTACTCATAGACAAAAGGGGAAAGCTACATAAAAGAAAATTGGAGAATGCTCGATGCTAGGTACATAACACCGGACGAGCTAGACAGAGATAAATCGACTAGCTGGGCTAGAGCCTGCACGAACCACCCCCCAGTGCACCCCTAATTACACAATTTGGACAGAAGATGGAAGCAGCTAAACTTAATGATGCTCACATGTGCTTTTCTCTCTAAAGTCGATTTTTCAACGTTGTACTGCTTTAGCAAAATCTTTTTTTTTCTGGCTGAAGATGTCGCATATGTTTGCTCTCCAAAGTCCGCTCTACTCACTAGTTTAGCCCAGACAATTTGCAACAGATTGCTTATCAAGTCCCCAAAGCATTATTTGCTTGTCAACAACAAAAAAGACACCTCGAAAGTCGATATTCTCGTCCTTGTATGGATACTTTCTTCGCATAGTTATCCCCAATTTTTTGAAATAATAGTCATTTCTTGATTGAAAATTTCCTCTCCCTCTATTCGGAATAATCTTTTTTCACATGATTCTATCACAATGAAGAGTGAGGTCTAAAATACAGAGCAATGGGCGCAAAGCAAAATTCTCTGTAACTATCTCTTAGCACTTAGAAATTGAATATTCGGCATTCCAAAGCGGTAACGAGTTTCAATGAGAAAACTCAACTCGTTTCGATAGTAGTTTCCATGTCAAATCATAGAAATAATTTATTTATTCGTTTATTCAAGTGAAATAGCCGAATTTGTAAGTCACAAGCAAGCAAACGAGAAATAAATTCTGCTGCTTTTACTGTGTTAAAATGTTGCTAAAATGTTTACATAAACAATTAAATAACTTCAAATAAGTTCTGTCGAGTAGCCTATCCACACAAAATCATCTGATTTACCATTTTAGTCTCACCACATAACTATAAAGTTGAGCATATTTCCTTGAAAATATTTTTTCGTTCTCGGTTATAGTCGAAAAACAACGAAGAGAGCTCAAATTCATAATCCTTTCTTTGTCTAGGGATATTGTTAGATGTAAATAATTTCCATTAGGCACGATAATCTCCGGAACAACGAGACAATAGTCCACAAATTACAGCATGTACCAATAACAGACGAAACATCCCTAGAAGCTCTTCAAAAGCAGAAACATAGAAAATCTTGCGTTTTTTTTTCCCAAAGTTGAGTTTAGAAAAGCGGAAGCAGGGAAAAAGGGCCAATGGATGAGGGTGAGAGAGGGTCTGTCAAAGAAATAGCAATAAAACCAGATTGCTGCTAGGATTTCCTAATTCGATTATTGCCGCTCTATAGAAACAATCCAGCAATGCATGATTTTGTTCCTACATAGTACTGTACCTCTTCTTCACCAGCTTATCTATAGCTATAAAAACATGATGCTTAGATGCCTTCATAGGCAACCCCAAGCTAGTCGTGAACGGACGGATAGTCAAAAGTGCACAAAAAAAGTCTTCATTACGATTCTGAGGGGCTTCTCCAACCAGAATATCTGTCTTATTACCGATTCTGCCCTTTCTTCTATGAAAAATACGATTTATTGCATATGCCAAGCCTCGGCTGAGCTTGTTAATCTCAAAAGCTGCCCTACACGCCCGCCAGTCATAGATGCATCTCCGGTATCAATTTTTCTATCGATTTAACACGTTTCGGACCGCGAAATCGCGCGCGGCGAAAAAGAGGGTACTTTTAGCCGTTAGCCAACAAAGCGATCTTATTTCCCAAACTGTGTGCTACATCTGTAATCAGTATGTCAGATAAGGTCGATACCCAAAGTTCTGAATGAATTCGAAGTGTTTAAATTTTGTCGCTTGAGAGAGACTTCCGTGCTTTCTTGAAAGATAGAAACAAGAACTCAGTTTCGAACTATATACAAAAGTGTCTGTGCCGTACACGATACACATCATTATTGAAATCACGTTTTTCTCATTGAATATGAAGCAAAGAAAAGTTGCGACGTCGCACGCGTCGTTCGCGTTGCCGCACTTCGTTGCAACTGTTGTTCGATTTGTCCCCATATCTTCTGAACAAGTATCGGCGGCACAGCTCTACGGAGTTATTTGAAAAGTAGGAGCCTAGGCCTTTGACTTGATGATCTTGGACAAAAAGAAAACCTCCTATAGAGTCTAAAAAGATCCTTCTAAGCCGCGTGCTGCACCATGTGCAGCACCGGTCCGAAACGTGTTAAAAAGCTGTTCAATACGCACATCACGGCTTGCTATCATTTATTTGCTGTTGTACATTTCTATCACTCTTGAAGTAGTGGCTCTGCGGTGTCGACAACACTTGAGCGTAATGATTGGCGGTGGAGCGAACTTTCAATCTCTGCAACCCACGACCATTCCATCATGCGCAGGTGTTGTCGGCGCAGGGACACCAAACTAAACGTCGAGTTTTAAGACTGTGTAGTAAGAGAGTTACATGTGATAAAAATGTAACATGGCCCACGATTTTCGTTCGGGGCGGCGTGGAAGGGGGAGAGAGGGGGGGGGCGAAAAAAATTTTTTTCAAAAAAAGTGCAGCGTTGCCCACGTAATCCGAGGATTTTCAGAATGCTTAATGCTTCCCAGAATTTTGCTGGTCCATGACCCCCAAAATTTTAAAAGGAGGGTAACGGCAGCCACGCCCCGAAGAATTTTTCAAAAAAGCAAAAACGATATTTTTTATTTTAAAAATTATTTTGATTATTTACTCAGCGAGTCGCTTGCACATTTTTATAACAAAAGTAAGTAGAATTCAGATCTTCGCAAACATTCTGAGGGGAAGAGGGGAAGGGGGAGGGGGGGGGGGGGGGACGGTCCGTCACTGTTATGTAGCTATATGTAGTTTTTGGCTCAGGTTGATGTAGTTAGATGTGATGCTTGAAGTCGTTTCGGTACAAAAGGTTCAATCACAAATCTGGAAGAGTTGAAGAAAAAAAAATTTCAGGCTGCGTCCAAAGTTGTCCGTGCCAGCGCCGATCTAGCGCCTGCTAAAGCTGTGCGTCGTGCCGGAAGTGTAAAGGTGCATGTCGATCAGTCGCTACGCGTTAGACATATGTCGATTCCGGCACGGCGGTGGAACGACAAGGGGCAACTCTGGACACAGCCTTACACTTTTGCTTTTAGATTACAAATTTGTAAGAAACGACACACGCCACGGTACCGCTCCCGCTATCGATAAGATTTTGATCCAAAGCACTAGATATCAAGGGCAATTCAACTGCTACCTATTCAGTAGTGCATAGATCTCATGTCAGCAATATTTTACTTTTCTTCTCTTCTTAGCTGTATTTTTTTCGCATTCAAAAAATCGCGAAAATCATAGTGTTTTACATGGGCAGAACGTTTTGGAATGAGGGCAGTAACATTCGATACATTCATTGAAGCTATGTGCATCAATCACGCTAGTTAAAGCGAGAATAATGGGATAGTCACCAGAAATGGTCACGAAAATTGCGTTGCTAGCGTCCACAACCATGTCTGGATTGAATTTTCTCTCACTGTCACTTCATTTGTCTAACCACTAAATAGTCAAAATTGCCACTATTGCTTTTACTAGCAAGGGTAGAAAAACTAAATTTTACTGGTCAAAGGTAGTGCCGAACACTATGCATGCTTTTCTATTTTAGTCGGAAAAATACTGCCACCCTCTCCCTCATTCAAGGTTGCATCAAGAGTTGCCTGTGTGCGCGCCGTGCCAGTGCCGTGCCAAAGTCGTGCCGGATCTCCGCGCATGACTGAACATTCGGGGCGCTAGTCAGGCGCTGGCAAGGACAACTGTAGACATAGCTACGCAAGTGTTAAAGCAATAGGTGGAAATAGAGCAATTCCAAAACAAGGAAAGTTTTTGGATGACCCCGCCCACTGTTATAACTGCGAAACCCTCTTCAGCAAAACTAATATATCCCGTGACCACTCTTGCAAGAAAAATTTATCGCGAAAGCTTGTTAAGGCAAATAGCCACACAATTCAAAAGATTTGCACGGCATTCTCGCTTGAAATATGGCCGAGCTAATCCGCTGCGATATCCACCAAAACGAATATTTTTCGCACGATCTGAGTCCGCTATAAACCGATGGGGGGACTGTGGGCCATAATCCACGCATCCAATTTCAGGGGAATTCCTTTCTAGTGGGGGAGTTTCACGTACCTAATTTGAAGCTCATAAAAAACACTCACTTTCAATTGAAACCATTGTCTGTGACACAATTTTCCATTAAATCTGTATGATAAACTGCTTTGTAGTATTGCACAACAGAATTTATTCTTGTCATGGAGTTCTAATTCAATGCATTGCAAATTGATACTTTTTTGTTGTTGGATGCATAAAAACGCACGCTCCGTCACAGAATCGAGTATATACTCTAACAATGGCAAATCAGACATTCAAATATTTTAGATTATCTGTTGAAAATCACCTTCCATTCATTTTGCGGAGCTGAAAATATTGGAGGTGTGCATTCTAGACCTATAAACGCTTCAACTGAACAAGTTTCCATAGATCTGATTGATGTATGACCATTGAGAGGTACAAAACTTTAGTGAATTTGTGCCAATTCTGCTATCAATAGCGGTCCTTCAGAGTAAAATTAAAACCTACAAGAATCTACGTTGCAGAGGAGGAAGCGCGGTAGGGGAGCGGGAGAGGAGGAGGGAGGAAGGAGAGCATGGACGAGAAGATGAGATAGCTGTTCACATTTGCATCACTACCTGGCAGAAATCCCAATGTTATTAGGACCAGGGACAAAGCGAGGCTAAAGCTGCGCCCCCGAGTTGCTGTATGCTGGCGCCGTGCCGGAGCCGTCCAAGCGCCATTCCAACGCCGTGCCAGAACCAGCGTGGATGCAAAGCTTGATCCACCGATCCGACAAGATTTTGTAAGGCGCTAGCACGGTGCTGAAACGGCGCTGGCACGTGAACCCTGGATGCAGCCGAAAATTCAACAACAACACAATTAGCCAAGTGAGATCATTCGCAGGAAAGTAATGCCAAACAAAACTTACCCATAAATTTTAGCTTCATCGATTTTCTCACTATGCAGTTTTAGTTCCTCTTCTATTCCTTTCTTCTCCTCCTCCACATGTACTTGTTTTTCATTTGCTTCAGTCGGCTTTTTCCTTCGTTGCATGTCACCTTAATCGACAAATCGTTGTAGCTACGAATTTCTTCGCCACCCAAACAAGAGAAAAAAATCGTTGCGCATAAATCTTGTTCCCTTTCTCATTTTCTTGCCATCTGAGACGTACAGAATGCAATATTGTGATGTAAGTGATGCTTAAGCTGGGACTGGCCACAGGACATACGCGCGTCTACCTCATTTCGTTCAATCCTCATGGGCACGAGTCAGTCAGCCGAATTTTCCACACGTGCATCATCACTGCGCTCGAAATTGGGCGAACCACAAGTGCTCACTGCTTATCAGGTGGGTATTAGCATCGAAGTGGATATGGAACCGACAAAAAACTTTGACAGCGATTTAGCTGCATTCAAAACGTTTAATCTTCTTTCTGATAAAGGATATGAGATAAATCAATTAATATTGAAAAATGCAGGCTACAGATACACATAACAGCATTGCCAATCTCATAGATTCTTTTTCGGAAATTGCTTTTACAATAATTTTAAGAAAGTTTTTGAACTTATTTGGAGCTCCGGAAATTTGTCACAGTGCTGATTTGAATTCAAAAATGTTAGGAAATCTTTGATTGCTAAAAAAACATTCCACTTGCATAATAAAACAGGTATATGATTCCTAAATCTTCGATAAAAAAGTGGATATTTAACCTTTGATTCAACTGGCCTGTCCACTGAAAGGCGGGGCTTTGTGACCCTAAGGCCGCTCGCGCCTGTGACGCAGTCTGCGTCACTCTCGCGCGCGTGCTCCCTGATAATTCTGCCTTAAAGGCAGCGTCCAGGCAGATCTGGACCTATGGTGCTTTTACGTGGAAAGTACTTTTGGGGCCCTAACTAAGGCACTGCCCAAGCGGCAGCTCAGATAGTGCTGTAATGGCTGAGATATTCCCCTCGAAACTGGACCCCGCGACCGTGTTTCGCATGGATTCATGGCGCAAAGCGTGGATCCTGGCGCGAAACTGCCATGAATCCATGCGAATACGTTCGCGGGGGCCAGTTTCGAGGGGAATATCTCAGCCACTAGAGCACTACCTGAGCTGCCGCTTGGGCAGTGCCTTAGTTAGGACCCCAAAAGTACTTTCCACGTAAAAGCCCCATAGGTCCAGATCTGCCTGGACGCTGCCTTTAATCAGATCTCGAAGCCCCGCCTTCCAGCCGCCAAGCCAGTTGAATTAAAGGGTACGCTTTCCTGCATTTCCACGATTTCGATATTTTGATATAATATATGGTGTTTTATACAGCGTCATTGATATATGAGATTTTGAAGAATGTGCATTGTCTTGTGTGATATATAAGCTCCTATGCTAGGATAACAACAAGAGGTATTAGATGTGCCTGAAAAAGTCGTAGAATGCACCAGAATTACTAAGGTGATATTTCGAGCGACACTGATCTAATAAAAGATGGCTTCGAGAGTATGTATCTACTTCCACTAGCGCTTGCCTCAAAGTACTTGGATCTGGTAACCCTAACCTTGTTTGTCTTGCAAAAGATATTGAATGCTTCTGCAGCTGATTGAATATTTGAAAAATTTTGGCTGTTCAAAATGCTATTGTCTTGGTTTTCATATCCTTCTACAGATTTACCCCTTACGACTGGTGCATTTTATGACAACAGTGTGCTTTTGAATTGCTTAGTGGTTTTATATAGGCACTGGCACAATTAGCAGTAATAATTTCAATACACTTTAAGAGAAGAGAAGATGGTGCGAAATATAGTATTTTTATATGGAAAGAAAGTGCGCACTTTTTTGTGAGAAATTTGTGAGAACATCACAATGAGAAAAAACTTTCTATAGATTATTCAGTTCAAAATATAATGATTTTCATTGAGATACGCTTGTACAATCTGTATGTTCTGAGCGTTGGTAAGGCAGGTATGTATTATGTAATACACTGCTGGTTATTGCTGCAGTTTCTAATCGCTTTTCCTTTTTAAAACTTCGTTAATTTTTCTTTTCTTCCATCCTCCAAGTCAGAAATAGCCGTTAAGCATGCAAAGAAATTTGGAAAACATCCGATCTTTCATCTTCACGGATTTTCTGACAAGAAAGAAACAAGTAAAATGAAAAATGACTGAAGAAATGCACTTTGGAGTGGAACTTTCACAAGTGAAGATGAGTAGGACATTATCCGTTAATCTACGGCAGGTACCTTCGTTGAGCAAAAGAGACTAGAGAGCAAGAAACTGGGCTGCAAGCGTTTCTTGTTGCCTGTTTTGATATTAATACATTTCGTCAATGTAGAAAGACAAAACGTTTTCATCTTTAGCAAAAGAAAATCTGATTTTTCAGAAAGTTATCCTGCAAACAACATGGCGACACATGAGTAAAGCTGGTCAAAGCAGTTGCGCAAATACAATCATGAGCCGACTCTTCATTCGAGATGAACAGATCAAAAACGTCTTTCACCACAACACTATGCTCAATGCTGTCTTGGGGTCAGACGACACGCACTGCTTCCAGCAGCACCACAGAGAAATCATTGAATTTTTGCAATTCGGTGAGTTTTCATTTAGACAAAGGTGAGCTCATGTATCTATCTAATTAATATAAAAGATGGCCAGATGCACATTGTGTTGAACCACCTATCGTCCAGTTTTTTTGTAATTCAATATGCGTATTGCATAGGCAAGTGTCATACTTGATCCACCTGATCCGCTTCGTGCAGAACCCCCTCACTAGTTTATCATCTGGCGCCGGGTAGGTAAAAAAGGCATTTTGTATGGTTGCGCAAATTCGTTGTACGCGATGCCAAATGACAAACTAGTGAGTGCGCGTCTTGCACGAAGCGGATCAAGTGGATGAGAATCAAGTATGGCGCGTGCCTAATGACCATCAATAAATGCATTGCCCTCGATTTGACGGCCGCTTTGTGTGTTGCACTATTTTTTGAATTCAAACTGGCATTTGCAAATTCCAAAGTACAAGAACACTTTTTGTGTTGTTTGCGATCGCCTTCCTGTCATCTGTATTTTGTACTGTTTTCTCGATCATAGTGGGACTCTTGCAAAATTGTGCATTTACACAAAGCTACCGTTATGTTGAGCACCGTCATGATGAGTATAGACAACCGTCTATGTCAATCATAAGCCCCTTTTCCGATGGGCTGCGTATTTGCAGCGCAAGTCCCTGCTTAGCGATCCACGATCTCATCCAGGAAGACGCAAACCATACGCTCGCAAACGCGACGCGGAGCTCTGGCGTGGCGATTGGCTCATGGAAAAGAGCGACTGACATAGACTGTAGTTCTCACTAGAGAGAGAGAAGATGGTGGAGGTCAAAACGTACTTCAAAGTTCGACTGACTCAAAAACATTTCAATGATGCTCTTGAGTCAACATGAGACAAAAATCAAAGAAAAAGCTAGTCGATCTCTATTGCGACAATTATGCATGGAACTAGTGACGATGAAAGGATCGATCGGCCTTTGTAAGTGAAGGTTCATACTAGCCATGTTTTTGCGAGCGCGCCAGGTGCGTGCCATACTCAATGGTACAAGCGCTGCGAGCGCAAGCCTAGCTCATGTAAACGGCTTCGGGTCAGGAGTCACAGCGCGCACGGCAACCGCTCGCCGCGCTCAATTTCTACCTCACAAAAACTTTCCGGTGCTAAAATGTCACGGCGCCACAGTAGGGGGGGGGGGGGGTGGCAGCAGATACAAGACTTGCTGCCATAAGTAACATTGCGACTGAAGTACTAACGGGAGCTGAGTCTTGTAGTACTTGACGTCGGCGGCGTCGCTTCGCGAAAATTTTTGACTCCTGACCCAGACCCCATGTAAAGAACCTTCCTCAGGCGACGTAGTATAACTCACCGCAAAGCTAGATCATTCTTCTCAACGACATGTGATTCGCAATAAACTTCACTCAAAAAAGGGAGAATAAATATCGAGTGATGAGAATGACTGCAAAGGATCATTGAAACCAAACATCTCTAGCACATTTATCAATCAGTATTATTACATGCTTCTGCAATTACATATGAATACCCAATTCAAACATACAGAGATCTGTTGAGAGCAAAATATGGAAGGTACAATATGACTGTTTCAGTGATTTCAAATCTGGATTATCCATCAAAAATCGCGGAGAAATGTCATGAAATCGGCGTTTTACATAGAAAATACATAGCGATGGGAATGGAGGTGAGTCGATACACTCGAAAATAGGGAAAAATCTACCGTAGTAAAGATGGTCCACAATACGCAATAAACTCACAAGGGAACCGTGTCGAGTCGAAGTGGCCTTTCCAGATGAGACCCATACTGCTTTGAAGAGCATTAATCGGTGATTCCAAATCTGCTTTCCAAATCTGCCAAGCGCCTCTGGACGCCGAGTTATGCTCATTTTTCAGGTCAAAAAATTGAACGCAAAACTGAAGCAAAATCGCCCAAATTTGCTCAAATGCTCCAGTGGCAAGTATCAGAGCTGTTTATGCAATGGATACATTTTATTTATTATGCTAATACTTAACAATGCTTTATCTGAGCGCTGGAAAGGTTGTAACAATCAATATTACCTAAATTCTGCATTCATTTTTCGTTCCGAAGAACGGTCATAAGTCGGCGTCCAGAGGCGCTTGGCAGATTTAGAAGGCAGATTTGAAATCACCGCTTAATACTCTTCAAAGCAGTGTGGGTCCATTTGGAAAGGCCACTTCGACTCGACACGGTTCCCTTGTCAGAAGATCTGAACGTGGTAGTGGCTACAAATTATAGTTTTTCAGGCAGAGCACTGGGATCTACTTGGCGAAGCGATTACGGAGACAATAAGAGAATTCCAAGGCTGGAAAACACACCGTGAAAGTTTGAGAGCAGCCAACGTTATCGTTTCTTTCGTTATAGACAGAATACAAACAGGCGAGTTTGATGGAGATAGCCTCATAATGTGCATAAAAAATCACTTCTTATTTCCGAGGTTTAACAGAACTTTTTGGATTCAGAAAGTTTCATTTATAAACCGCTTACGAGAACTAAGATACGAGTGGTACAAGGACCATATCTAATGCATATTTACAATATTCATCCCGCGTTCGTTCAATTTTTCTCGACTACTTGTTCAACTAAGTTTTGAAATTCAAAAAAAATAATACAATCCATTTGACAAAAAAAACTATTTGCGAAAAACAGCATTTACATGGGAACCCTCCTGTACCAAAACGTCAAATGCGGCAAATGGGCGGCGTTGTAAGATGGGAGGGGGAGGGGCGTACCTACGCGAAAATTTCATGACCTCTACATCATGCGTATCTCAAAAACAGCGATCATCCTTGTAATTGCCTTCAAATAAAGTTGAGAAGGCAAAAGTCACAGGTCAGAAGCGAAAACAATTTGCATTTCGACATGATCCTTGCACTCACCAATCTCAAAATCAGTACGGTGCTTGGAAAAGAAAAGAAATTGCCAAATTCCAAAAAAGTAGATGTGAATGATATGCATACATAAAACTTAATACAGGATTCTTACAAAGAGAAGTAACTACGCCGAATGACGCTCCGACGACCTCGAAGGAAACCAGAACCGAAGTAGATCGAGAGCGTAGCAAGAGCCTGCAAGATGCACATAAAGAATTTTATCGTCGACAATCCACGGATTCATGTTTGAATGTAAAGGACGTTGTGGCCGCTCTTGCTCCACAAAGTACAAAGAAAAAGCTGCAGCCGATTCCAATAAAGAGCTTGCCATGTTTTCCATCATCAAACGAGGTGCCTGTGGAGTTACGGGTGAGCACATAACCTTATATCAGTTTTTGTAAGGTTTATAGAAAACAAACTTTTTATGCCTCAATCAAACAAAAAAGCTGAAAAGCAAAGCAAAAATTTCCAATCATTCTACGGCTTGTTTTAAGGTATATCACCGTCGTCGTTGCCTGCCTCAAACGCCATTATCTGATGGTGAACTCGACGATGTTGATCACAGTAAACGCCTATCCACAATCAGAAGACAACAATTTCGTCGTTCAATTAATAATTCCATTGATTTAGGTCATTTGAGCAAATAGTGAGTTCTTACCATGAAAACATCAGATTTTTGGATGATAAAGATGTATACCTCTTGTACTGGACAAATCACTCAAGGCGGATAAGTCTAATGAACCAAAAATGTGAAAAAATCTTCAAAAATTTGTTATTGTAGTTGAGTAATAACTACCGCAGCAAAACTGAAAATGAAGCAAAACTCAGAGACGACTTCTGGGCAAAACAAAGCGGGATGCATGAATCAGTTTGCCCAACAATTATTCACTTGAGTAAATAGTGCATTGTAGGTGTGTAAGCAGTGAACCTTTTGATAGATAAAGTTGTATATCTCTTGTACAGGGTTGTCAACAATCTACTTCAAACGAATAAATCTAGTAAAGAAATTTTGTCTCTGGAGCTAAGAAATACCCTAAAAGCTGACATACAGGCCCTCCATGCAGGTAAATCCATCTAAAAATAAGTTCGATACAAATAAGTCCGCTTCGGACTCATCTAACAAGACTTTAGGGTAGTTATAATAAGAAAAGAATTTGTCAATAGATGTCGAACATAACTGAAGACGGCCTTACCAGTAGGATTTTAGAGTAATTAAAAATTGAGATTTGATTGAAACAATGACTTTTGATTGAAGACAAGGCCAAGAAGAGTGTAATACAGTCTAGCAACTAATCAAGGACCAACCTCAGAAATCATCACCCGATGGACCTTCAACACGACTCCGCTTAATCTTGTCGAAAAATGAGGTGACGTGCTCAGCTGTAATCACTCCCACACCTTCCTCCTGTTTTTCCTTCATGAATTGGTGTAGATTGCGCTTTAGGTCATTGAAACCTGAATGGGAAATTAGGCGTTCTCCATACAAGGAAAAAACTGTTACCTTTCAGCACATGGATAGCTGCATCTCTTCCAGCAGTTTGAACCAGCTCATTCACAATCGTCTCGTCGTCCGGCTCCTTCTCGCCCTCGGTCTTCTCAATGTTCTCTTTGGTAAACAACTCAATGTCGTCGTCAATATCGACGAAAAAATCGCAGCCCATTCTTTCGTAAAGAGCCTAAAAGATGACGACAAGTTAGTAATTCGTCATAAAAGTGCAGACAGAAAAAGTTACCAAGCACTCGCTGCATTTACACATTCGTTGTCTAAAACCATCTATCAGCAGAAATGGGCCTTCCTTATGGTCAGCCATTGATGAAAAGCAAATTATGCCTTCACTTGCTGCGGAGGGTTCTTCGACGTGGAACCGAGAAAGGAAAGGAAGGCGAGTAGAGCAATCCTTGCAAATCTGCAAAGCAGATACTAGCTAATAGCTGATAAGTACTAGTCATGTATGAGCGCAAAGAAGGAACGTACCAGGGAGAAATCTTGCTCTCCTCCCTTTTCCCTCTCTTCCGCCAATGCTGCACGTTTTTCGTCAAGATGCTGAAACAGAAGACGCGGATGCTGTTGCAATGCCCAGAATACAGAGTAAAATTTGAAGCCCATTCGACAGTGTTTCAAAAGGCATAGAACAGCCAACTCACTGATATATGGAACCAGTCCTCGCAAGCGACGCATTGGTGCATGGTCTCGTCAAATTCGCAGGGGTATGGTTTTTTGCACACACAGAATAATCCAGCGAAATTATCGTTATACATATTCTGCGAGTTGAGAGATTCTTTGTCCTGTGAAAACGTTAGGCTAGAGAATCGAAAAAGTGAAGAATGCAAAAACATGTTTCGAACAAAAAGGATAACAAAAAAGCTAAAACCCACCTCATACAATGTGCATTTAGTTTTGAACTTGCTGTTGCCACAATCGCACCTGTAGAAAAATGCATTCTTAAAATATCAATCAAACTAAAGACATAATCATACCTGAACCGCCTCTTGGTGAAAAGTTCAACGATGTTGTGGCCATCATGACAGTGTACCGAACATCCGTAGCACACACCTGCTTCATTCTTCTCGGGTTCTGGAGCGCAAGTAAGGCAAGCAAAAACGGCTTGACGGGGTTTGTAACCCTAAAGTTCCGAATACCATCCTTTTTAAGACTTTAAAGTTATAATAATAGTTATAATAATCTTCTATCATACTGACGGAAGAAGTATAAACGAAGACTGTGTTTCAAACAACAAGTAAACAGATGACGCTCAAGCAATAACAGAAAATGTTGTTATAACAAAGGAAGCTGTAATAAATCGAAACCACACTGTTATTTAGTATTCTGCCGTGATCAGATATATTTAGAGTGTAGTACTGGGTTGAGAGCACCGTTCATATACTACGAAGATGTCTGTGTTTGGAACTTTACTAAGTTCAATACCATACTTCGCAAAGGCCCACATAACGTAACGGATCGGGAGAGTGGTTTGCGTAAACAAGTTCACTCAAGCACAAAACATATCCTTCGAAACTAAAGGCTTTTTTTTTTGGAAGATCTGATGATCATACGTGACCAAATTTTGCAAAAAAAGCCCGTAAAAAATGCGACGGGAAGTTGTTACAAGAAGTGAGCAACCCACCTCTGGATATGTGCATACAGAAGAGTCTTGAGCACCTAGTAAGACGCGAGCCGTTTCCCTCGATGAGGCTTCATTATCCAAGATATCTTGTATGGTCAACACAGGTTCAGCTTCGTCATCTGTTTCATCCCCAGCCTCTTCAACAGGAGCGGCATTATCTGAACGATAGTGATACGCAAGGACACAAAGTACAGTCGAGTAGATTTAGCGGTAAATATAGTGTGCTTACACGGAAGGTGAAATGCGGTGAAATTTGCGCGTGAACAAGTAGCCACGCCAGTACTGCGGGTACCTTGCGCGCGCAATTGACAGGCGTCACAGTCGAAGCTATTTCTTCACGTGCAAATTTCATCGCATTTCACCTTCTGTGCAAGCGCACTATATTTACCGCTAAATCTACTCGACTGTACAACGAAAGATTCCGCGAAAATTCGCCAAAAAGCAAACCTTTCGTTTCTGACTTCTCGGGCTCATCAACCGATTGCAAAGGCGGCACCACATTCTCAGCTGCGTTCTCCTTCTCCTTCGCTGTATCTACTCTCGTGTCCCCAGCCGAATCAGACATCTGCAAAAAGCACTATTCGAAAAAATCAGATTCGCGCCAATTTGAAGTCGGAAAACATATAACTTGGCTGAGAGCACTTGGTCAGCGAAATTTTACCTATGAAAGGAAGATCTGATGGTTTCTACAGGATATTTACACCACATTACTGAAAAAGATCAAAGTTGCGCGTATGATCACAACGATCAAATGTGGGAAAATGTTTAATTAGATTTGCCTGCGTACATTGCAGTGTTGACTGAGTATTGGCGAGCTTGCGTGGAGCAGTGTGAGAGAGCGCCAAAGAAACGCGACAAATTCCACTTGTTCAAATCTGTCTAGCCTGTTCTTCCTCGTCTTGTCTTGTAAGGCAAAAGTGAATGGCTGAGTGCTATAAGCTTTCCCAATAAATTATCTCTAAATCTTTCTAAATTCTCCCTGCTCTTTAAATTTAAGTTTGGATCTCTTTTCGCATTATTTCACCACTTTTCTAGTCATTTTCTGTAGATGGAACTCATCTTCCTCCCATCAATACAGAATTCATTTCAAATTTAGATGTGCCTGATTGCGCCGCGAACATTTCAAAAATCTTAATGTTTCCGAGTTTTTTTTATATGGAAAGAAAACCCGTGGTGGATGGTTGGGGTAATCCTTCCTGTTTCATTTGAAAAAAGGAATTTTCTGCAGCCGCTTGATCCCTGCAAGCTCATCAGACTCATTCCGTCTGCTATAAAAATACCCTGACACCAGTGGCAAGTCGAGAAATTTGAATTGCGATAACTAAGTTTTACCTTTTCTGAATTCATAAAGGAAATTTTTATTGTGAGAAAGAAAATTTTTATTGTGAGAAAGAAAAATTTTTTTTGAACGAAGGCGTGACCTCAGCAGCGCTACAATATTTTGGGTGCGCATGTTGACAGAAACGCCCTAATGAATTTCTAAAAGGCTAATCTGAGCTTTCGAATTCTGTGAATAATTCAATTTTTTACAAGTAAAGCAAGTCATTTGCACAATCATATAACTTATGTGGACCACCTATATAAAAATAGCGACAATCTCATAACCCCTCTCCCCTCCTCGATCCCGCCAGATGCTACATACGCTAGAGGCATTCGCAGATTTTTCCGAGTTTTATTTGTGAGGGAAGTGGGGGGAGGAATTTTTAAGATTTTTCGAATTAATTACAAGCTTTCGGCACTGCAGATGCCGTGAAATTCGTGGTATTGAACTTGCCGCAAGCGTCTCGCGAAGCCATTGTAACTTCTACAAATTTATGAGCATTAAAATTTTTCATAGTGAAACATTGCTTGACTTGGACGGCTCATTCAGAATATCTTTAGTAATCTTGGGACCATTAGTTTTCCAGACAAAGTGTTCAGCCTTTTTTCATCCCTCTAAAAATCCCCACAATTCACCCAAAACCTAATGTTAGTTTTCTAACTTTTGGTAATCGAAGCAGTACAGTTCGCTCTTATCTGCGACGGCAGTTCACGAACCATTTTTTCTTTGAAATGTCCGTGCGCTCCCCACATTTCTGTTGTCTGTCTTGCCCAGCATCCGTCAATTGAAGTCTCATCTTTCCATTTTTATTAATATTGACTGATGTTTTGTACCAGGCACTAGTTCGGCACAAAAGTTTTGCAACCTAATTTGTAACTCTCTTTTTGACTGTGTAGCATTCAATTTTGTACGTAATGTAAATTAGGTAATTAGCTACAAAGATAGCAAACGGTTTAATTTTTGGTAGCGAAGTGAAGAAAATTTACGCGTTTTTGGAAAGCTGGTTAGATTCAAATTTTCAAGGGTCGCAAAACAAAAATAAAACCTTCTCAGCCTGAATCAAGTGATCAAGCCGACTGCAGCCGATTTATACTTTTGGCTTGATGGGTTTGAATTAGAACGGTTTTATTTTTGGTTTACCGACTCGTGAAATTTCGAACTTTACCAGCTTCCGAGAAATGCGTAAATTTTCTCCACTTTCTTACCAAAAATCAAAATGTTCGCATACATTTGTACCCTACTACCCAATCTATATTACGCCTAAAAATGATTGCGTCGTAGTCAGAAAGAGAAAATTTTAAAATAAGTTGCGAAATTTATGCGCCAATTTAATACTTATGCGAGGTGCGACTCAATCTCTGCGAATTTTTTCTATACCTTGCTTGCTTCCCTGCTTACCTTGGATCAAATATTAATTGTCCAAGTGAACTCTAAGGTTTATTTTGAATTACGAACAAAACAGTCCAGAATTTCTCCACGAAAGCGTAGCTAATCGATCAAACGCTCTATCTTGCCAATCGTCACGAAAATAGAATTTCATGTCGATCAATCTATGCTCGTATTTATATTCTCACGTCTTCCTTTCTTTTTCTTGTGCTTTTGTTTGAACTATGGCACAATCGATTTGCAGCTGGTGCATTGCCATAACGGTAACTCGTAAATCACAGTGGCGCCAGAAGAAGATAAGAATCGGAGGTGCTTTAGGTTTGACGGTACTTAGGTCTTTGATTTTGATTTCTATACGGCCCATATCAGTCAATGGTAAATCTTGCTCTTGAAAATAATTACTTGAAACAAGTCCTAAGCCGGACCTCTTCCAAGTCCGTTCTCACAACCCCCCCCCCCCTTGGCCCTTATTCGCTCTACATAGTATACTTCTTTATGGTTGTTATGAGGGAAAATACTAATGTAGCACGTAAAAGTCATGTTTTCCAATATTTTAGCTGGCCCGTAATCTCAGAATTTTGAAATGAGGGTGTGTTCATTTCATGAGGCTACTTTGATTGGGAAATCTAAAATTATTTTAATCATTCCATAGTGGGAGGCAGTTATTTGCGCATAAAACTCATGTAATTCTTTGAAAAATATCGCTTCCTATTTTCGGGAGGGGAGAGGCGCAAGTTAGTGAAAATCACAGCTTATGTTCTTCTGATTGGCAAACTGCAAAAAATAATAGGATCGCAAGACAGCTCGTGCGAACGGTTTGCAGTTTTTCTTCAAAACTCGATTCATTGGTTACTTGGACTATGATGAGACTGAACTTTTCCTTGAAAAGAACGTATGCCAAGCGGGACCAATAAAATTTTCTTAAAATTCTTCAAATTTTTTCTTTTGGAGAGAGGGGGAAGAAGGAGACGAAATTGTAGTCTCTGACTGTATATTTGGAAATTGTTGGTCTGATCGCGTAAGAAATTATGTTTCCGTTAAATGTCTGCTTTCGAGGTTTTTTTTTGAAATTTGCACTAACTCAAACTCGTTCCGTAGTCGTATCGTTTTGCCTGTCTTTTCTGAATAGTGCTAGTCTAAATATTTAGTCTTGAACCTTCTAGGTCCCCCATAGAATAGCATGATGGCACAAGCTCCACAGCCAAAGATTGAACCTGAGGAAGTCATCCGGGCTACCCGAGGTCCCACTGAAATAATTGGTGGAGGTATCCGAACTGTGCTTCTTGGACCCCCTGGTTCTGGTAAAGGAACCCAGGCGCCTATGCTAGCTGAGAAGTATGAGTCTTGCCATTTGTCTACAGGTTGCTTAGCTTATTTTTCTTCCTATCCAAGCTACTGAAAATGTAATTCTTTAGGCGACCTTCTACGTGCCGAAATGAGTTCTGGTTCAGCCTTAGGCAGAAAAATCAAGAGCTATGTGGATGAGGGCAAGCTAGTCTCAGACGATATGGTCTGTGAACTTGTCGACGTGAATCTAAATAAGCCAGAGTGCCAAAAAGGCTTCATCCTTGATGGTTTCCCACGAACTGTAGTGCAAGCTGAGAAGGTAAATTTTTCGCGTCGTTAATCTTTGAGCGACCCATGATGAACGTTAACGTTTAGCTGGACGAGTTGCTGCAGAAACGAAACGAGCCGCTGGATGCTGTAGTAGAGTTTAGCATAGACGATAGTTTACTTGAACGCCGTATTACTGGACGATTGTTCCATCTCAAAAGTGGAAGGAGCTACCACGAAGATTTCAACCCACCAAAGGTAATTTTATTTGTAATTGAGCGAAGCGGTAGGACAAATCGTCGAACTTTCCAAAGTTACTGTGTGAATAGAATTAACTGACTGCGATGAATATATTGCTATAGCTGCGGCTTTGTTGGAGAATCACATCAAATGAACATTCGCACTTATAAGGAAAGCTACCTAACTGAGCTCGGCCTTTTAAAGGCATAAATTTGCTGAATAAGCTTCTAACGCTGATTCCAAGCTATTCCTAGCTGCCACGCACCACTCCGAAGCGAGTTATAGGCTTTTTTCTACGCAAAATTGGCATACTACTGAACATGAGAAGACTGTCTGTAGATAAAAAATCTGCAAGAAAAAGGTGCTGAGGTATCGAAATAGTACCTACAAATCCAATCTTTTCTCACTGAAAAAAGCTTAACTCAGGTGTATCAGCACTTAAATGATGATAACTTGATGCCCATGACTGATGCATGCCAATTTTGCGCAGGAAAAAGCCCATAACTCGCTTCGGAATGGTGCGTGGCAGCTAGGAATAGCAATTTGGAATCAGCATTTACAGCTGATTCAGACTGTATATGTCCCTTGTCAAAATGCCGAGCTAAGTTAGATAGCTTCCCCTGTTAGACGGTTGATCGGAAGATCCGCTTTTAGAAAATGAACCTCCCACAGCCTCTGGCTAGTGCTGCGGAAGCTTCTGTTCTAGTCGTTACGCGTTCTGCGAAAGTCTCCATATTTGACGTATAAACTCCTGTGATAATAAACAAAATGTTGTGGAACCGAAATATTAGTTGTCCTTCAGAAGCCGGCGCTGTCTGCGCGTATGCGCCATTGTAACGAAATGCTGATGGAATTATGATTCTTTGCTTCTTCCTTTTTTCGAAGTGAACAAATTAGTGAAGAGACACGAGCGTTCCAATTTCTTTGGCACTCTACCCTTGATCACGGCACAGCTCTGTTTGACTTATGGCTGATCTGCTACTTTATCCTAAACTTACTACGGGAGAGAATATTCCTCCCTTTCTCTATTGCAAATTTTCATTGCTGCTGCAGCTGGAATAGACTGTCGGCATATACGAATTATTTGGCAAATACTTTTCGGTATTTTCATCTTATTAGAAAAAAAGTAGACGCAAGCGGATCATACCTCTATGTCGATGATAATTGGGTGGTATCGACTAGAGTGCTACTACTGTTTAGGAAATGCACTGCTGATTAATTTTTTGCTGTTTGTAAGTTTGAAACATTAAGATAGATACTCTCTAGTTTACAATTTTTGTATAATTGTAACTCTTCGCTTTACAGGAGCCAATGAAGGACGACATTACTGGTGAACCTTTAGTTCGACGAAGTGATGACAATGTCGAGGCGCTCAGAAAACGATTGGCTGTTTATCACAGCATGGTGAGTGCATTCTTTTGAGGTCCTTGATTTTGCAGGATTTGATTCTTCAGTGTTCAACAAAAGTGTTTAGACGACTCCTCTAATTGGTTACTATCAAAAGCGTGGAATCCATACCTCGGTGGATGCTAGCAAATCCATGGATGCTGTATCACTCAAACTAGATCAAATATTCGCCAAAATGACCGTTAAAAGAGTGAGTTGTGCTTCTTTCCTTTGCTATGCGCCACCAACACTTACATTTTAGGAGAAAGCTGCTTACGTATAGGAATGGATGAACACGTGCAGTTGATTAGTTATAGAGGTCTAGCAGGATTTTCGCAGTACTGCCTCGATTGGAAATGTTTTGGGATTTTGAGATTAGGGATAGCCTTGTAGATACATTCTTGTGCCATTATTTATTCTTGTGATTTCTGACACCACTATCTACTGAATGTCTAAATTGCATGGGAATAATTCTCTAAGTTTCAGCATTTACTAAGAAATTTATATGGTTTTATACGATATTTTGACCAAAATCCATACAACAGACTCACCTTCATGTGTGATTGTGCATTCTTCTTGGTTTTCGTTTTTCTAACCATTTAAGTGGATCTGAAATATATGGTAAAATAACTTATTATGTAGGAACTATCATTTGTTGAGTTTTCCATTCTTGTTAATTTTACCGGTCTTTTTCGTGTATCGTAACAGCCTTTATAGCACAACTTTCATGATTTTCAAAATGCAATTTGGACAAACAATAAATCTTGCTATCTGCTCCGTAATGCGCAAAGAAATGAACGAAATTGTAAGGAGGGTGCTACGAACATTGGTTCTTCTAATTTACTTATAAAACCTGACCCGTATTCGGCTTCTTGATCTTACTCATCCTTCTCGAAGGTAGATTTCTCCTCCCGTCTTAGTTGTGTAAAAGTAGTGTTGTCTCTCCCTTCTTCTATGAATTTTGTTAACACAGCCTGCGTTGCTCACACAAAATTTTCGATCTTGTCAGGTCCAGTTTGATACCATCGACCCCAAATATCTTTGCAAAATTCATGAAAGAATTTTTTCGTCATTTTTCGCCCAAGTGTCCACAAAAATTTTCAGCCGCTTCCTTGAACCTTCCTTGGAATGCTGCCTATTATCGTTTATGATCCAAGGATAGAAATTCGAGGCTTTTCAAAACAAAAAGATCCCCGTTTCGTTTTGTCTTGAGATTTTCGAATCAGCTGCTTGATGCACGGATGGTTTTCGATGTTTACTTGAGAGGGACAAGTGTTTTATCCAGAAGCGGAGAGTCTATTGCAGAACTTCCGTTTTCCTTTGGTGATTCTATGTGGAATTCCTTGATCTTCACTTCTCGTCGGTACATTGTGGCAATTGCCGCAAAAAGATTTGTAGAATGACTTCGTTGTCGATATGTCCTCCCGTTTCTGGCAGAAACTACGTACCAGTAATAAGTACTGATTAGAAGGCGGAAAAAGAGTGGTTAATAGACATGGTGATTTTCTTATGTTCCATTTACATGGGTAGAACTCTTGCAAGGGAAGGATACTTGGTCGAAGTGAAGTATCCATATGAAATATGCACTATCTTTTGAAGCGTGGAACGCTGATTCCAAATCTGCTTTCGATATTTTCTGGGGAGTTATGGGAATCTGAAAAAGCGAAAATTTGAACGTGCAGCCACAATAAAATCATTCAGAGGTGTAGCCTATGAGCTCAAAAAGGGTCAAGATTACTTCCAATGCGCTCCATGCAACCAGTAATTTCAGCTCAGTAAACCTATGTTAGTTATTGTTCTTGTCCAGCTTCGGTAAAGGCCTCAATACCTGCTTCTATCTTAGGCCCCGGGCAGACTTCACGCGATTTGATCGTCGCGACTGAATCGCGACGAGACAACTGTTACAACATCATTTCTTGCCGATCAACTTGCATTCGGTTGTGATACTTTTCCAGCCCGAAATTTTTGAATATGAAATGAAAATGAATGGAAATCTTGGCGATTGAATCGCGACGATCAAATCGCGTGAAGTCTGTCCGGGGCCTTAGCCGAAGCCTTGATTTTTGGCCTTAAGCAATTCTCATAACTCCCCTCCCAGAAGCGCTTTGCAGACACCGAGAACAGATTTGGGATCAGCCATACTCTGTAAGACTGACCAAGTATCCTTTTCTTGTTAGGAGTTCTGTCCCAATTAATATCTCTGGATATTTTCAGCTCAAACCAGTGCTCTGGTGCTACACAGCACGGTGAACGAAATCAACGTCATAAACAAAAACACCCAGTATGGAGCCTTTGGGCTGCGATCTCATTCAGGTGTATAAAAATGCAGGTACGAAAGCATCTGCTGAAGGAAGTGAAGTCAAATTCTCTGAAAGAAGAGTTTCAGCAACAGAAGAATATCAAAGCTGTGCTGAGTGAAGTAAAATCTGTGGCATCAAAAAATAGTCCCCTTAGATTTAAGACGACCCACCAGCACAGGTTTGACTCACAAGTAGAATGAAACAATTGTCTATCACGTAATGAAGGGATACGTGGTGTTTTTCGTTATCGCAGCACTATCGAGGTTTTTTGTTCAACTTATTATATTTCGGACGGTCTGTTATTGAGAGCAGCACCGAATCAATCATGCACTCACTCAAATACGATTTATTTCGATATGGAACAGATCTTGATAGGTGAGAAATTTTGATTTCAAGTGAGTCATTTTACTGCCTGCTTCCTCCTCGGGAGCCGATGCAAATGTCACTCACAACTAGATGGAACCCCCTAATATGCAGGAGCGATAGTCATACAGTAGCACACCCTTTTTTTGATTTTGATTACAGTAGCAGTAAAAGCAGTAAAAATTTGCTTTGCACTACCATCAGCATCTGAAAGCTGACGGCTGATTTGGTAATGCTGCGAGACACAAGCAGTTTCTCCGAATTTTCTACTGAGGAAATCGTGAGCTCCTGCGGGAGACCCGAATGTCGCGATCCAATCACCTGCGGGACTCCCGCTCTTGACCGCGAGCTTCTGGGGGAGAGGCGGTATTGCAACGACTCGATCAGCTGCTGGCTGGGCTTTTTCTTAGAACTGGTCCTCCTCCAAAAATAGTCGAAAACTGCGTTCTATGCACATTTTACTAAGGTGACCTAAAAGTAATGGGGCACCATGATTTTCTAAACATTTTTCAAGATCTCTTTCTGATTAGCTATGAACACAGCAATTTGAATGCTTTTGTACAAAGTGACCTTCGCACTTATCTTGGCAGCACTTTGACACCTCATCGACATTCCTTCGAACGGCGCTTCAACGAAGTTAGACAGACTTTTTTGAACGCCACGAACTCTATTACTTGCAGCTGCAATTGAGGCAACAAAATCAACACCATTCACACCATTTCTTGAGGCTCTAGTAGGCTCGGCGGCATGAACACCATTCTCTTCTGCCGTTGAGGCAGTGAAGCCACAGTCGATTGACGTGAATGATAACGTTGCTGGCCTCTACTCTATTACTTGCAACTGCAACTGATGCAACAACAGCAACACCATCCACACCATTTCTTGAGGCTCTAGTAGGTTCGGCAGCATCAACACCATTCTCTACTGCCGTTGCAACCACAGCGAAGCCTTAGTCGAGTGGTGCGAATGGTAACGCTGCTGTAGCCGCTACTCTATTATTTGCAACTGCAACTGATGCAACAACAGCAACACCATCCACACCATTTCTTGAGGCTCTAATAGGTTCGGCAGCATCAACACCATTCTCTATTGCCGTTGCAACCACAGCGAAGCCGTAGTCGAGTGGTGCGAATGGTAACGCTGCTGTAGCCGCTACTCTATTATTTGCAACTGCAACTGATGCAACAACAGCAACACCATCCACACCATTTCTTGAGGCTCTAGTAGGTTCGGCAGCATCAACACCATTCTCTATTGCCGTTGCAACCACAGCGAAGCCGTAGTCGAGTGGTGCGAATGGTAACGCTGCTGTAGCCGCTACTCTATTATTTGCAACTGCAACTGATGCAACAACAGCAACACCATCCACACCATTTCTTGAGGCTCTAGTAGGTTCGGCAGCATCAACACCATTCTCTATTGCCGTTGCAACCACAGCGAAGCCTTAGTCGAGTGATGCGAATGGTAACGCTGCTGTAGCCGCTACTCTATTATTTGCAACTGCAACTGATGCAACAACAGCAACACCATCCACACCATTTCTTGAGGCTCTAGTAGGTTCGGCAGTATCAACACCATTCTCTATTGCCGTTGCAACCACAGCGAAGCCTTAGTCGAGTGATGCGAATGGTAACGCTGCTGTAGCCGCTTCTCTATTATTTGCAACTGAAACTGATGCAACAACAGCAACACCAACCACACTATTTCTTGCGGCTTTGTAGGTTCGACAGCATCAACACCATTCTCTTCTGCCGTTGCAGTCAGCAATCGGTGAAGCCACAGCTCAGACAGTCGAAGGGATACCTCCGGGGGCAAATGCCGAGGGTCTGTCACTTCGTGCTCCGGAGCCCTCCCATTTCACGCGTTTTGGTGCTCCGGGCTCCTCCAAATCTGGCGCACCCCGAAGCAGAGATTTGCGAGCCCCGAGGAAGGGTCCCATTCTTTCTTTTCCGCCTTCTTGTGACGTCACCGTGACGCCCGGGACTCGCAAATCTCTGCTTCGGGGGTGCGCCAGATTTGGAGGAGCCTCGGAGCACCAGACTGGGTGAAATGGGGGGGCCTCGGAGCACGAAGTGGCAGACTCCCGCCATTTGCCCTCTGGAGGTATCCCTTCAACTGTCTGAGTATGTCGAAAATGACCACCTCACTTGAGTGTCCCAATATTTGGAAACCTCGAAATTCGCAGAAACTTGGCCCTCAAAGGTTATTTGACATGTTAATTGAAAAAGGTGCTCTTCTTTTAGGATTCTTTTGATATGCTTAACTATGCGCATACGACGGTAGGCCAAAACATCAGTGCTGGTATTTTATACAATAGGCCTATCAGACTTGTTGAATGACACAATGTCGCTAACATCACTATCACCTCGATAACGACCCCCTCCCCCTCTTCCTGACCCCTCTACAACCCCCTAGGTGTGGCTTGCCACACACATGTTTGACTCTGGTCCTGGCATTGAGCATGGGAGAGTCTCTACGGAGAGTTCCCTCAGGTGTCGCTTTTGTAGGGTCCAAATGGCGCTTGAGCAACTTGACATCGGTCTTACCCAGGATCGATTCTAGGTTGCTGATGACACATTGTGTAACCAATAAACAACTGCTCTTAAATGCTCAGACCACATCCATGGCATCACCTCGACATCTGGAGAAGCTGTGGAGCAGATTTATACCCTCAGCACATTCAAAGGCCCGAAAGCCTCTAATCTATCTAATCTATCTAATATATAAAGAATCTAATATATAAAGAATCGTAAGCGCAATTTAAAAATGTGCAAATAGCGGGAAACCGCGTGGCGGTTCCAGCGCGCGGATGCAATCTAGCGCCTTTAATTACTGGTTCACTAGTTCGTGAAAAAAAAAACATGTTCGAGCATGTGGTACAACGTGATCGAACAAGTTCTTTCACGGATTCCCAACAGTAATTTACCAAAACGCGCTAAAACGCGCTAAACTTGTTAACGTACGCAAAGCGTGCTCGTACCTCTTAATCAGAGAATGAATAATATCAGCCCTTTACCATATTACGCCACAAAGCTGCTTGGGTAATAAGTCGGCCAGTGTTCAAGTCACTTTTTCCTCAACGCGCTACTGTCATCCTATTTGTGTTATCATTTGAGAGCAACTATGGTTGGTCCCCAGAAATGTTCCCATTTATTATCAACGTGGCTGCCTCTCGATCGTTTCAACACATCAACTCTAGCAAGTTTAAGGCGCTTATTAGAAGCTGACATGTTAAAACGATCGAAAGACCACGGTGATGGTATTTATGGTGCATTCCCCAAAATTGTTCCCATATGAACCATCAACGTCGCTGTCTTCCGATCATTCTGACATGTCAACTTCGAATAAGCGTCTTAAATTTGCTGCAGTTAACGTGTTAAAATGAACGAAAGGCAGTCAAGTTGATGGTTTATATGGGAACAATTCTGGGGAAGCACGAAATCTGAGGAGACATTTCTGGGGGACGGACAATAGGTCGTCAAACTCCGTTGTGCAGATCACTGCAGAGTTGCTTGTGATCCGAAACAGAACCAGATCCAATCCGGCCACAAGCAACCAATCCGCCAAACCACGCAGCTGGAACGCGCGGATTTCGAATTTCGCTGCGTACGCTGATCCTCTAGCTGAGTATCAGCGCGCAGCTGCGTCGCGGGCGACGAGAACCAGGCGCGAGAGCAACCGATCATCTCTCCTCTGCGTCGGGTGGGCGCCATCTTTTTTCGCATTAGCATTACTTCTTTCGAAAGCGTACCCTGCACTCACATGGGAATGCTAGTTGTAATTTCGGGAGACTGAGTTCCCAAAGCATTGGGTCAAGTTGCTTGTTTGATTCTAGTCGATTGCATTTTTCGTTTTTGTGGTGTTTCACTATCTCGTGCCTCCCTACGCCCAGCTCTCGAGCTAATGTTACGCCAAACATTTTAGTTCCTAACTATAGCGAGCGCTTAGTCATCACGAGATCTGCGTCAACGTCGATTCATCTCTCATAATTGTGTCAAGTTATGTCCAGTAATTCCAATGCAGTCTACTTTCTGTTCATTTCAGTTGCAAAGCTCTGATGTCAGAAGCAAAGCCCGCTCAAGTTTTACAGTTGGAACCAGCAAAAGAACTGGTTTTCCAAGGTTTGTTTTCAGTTTCGAAATTAATATTGATTATGCAGAGCGGTACCCTGTGAACCATCGTTAAATATATTCACATTGGGATGATGTATACATTGTTTTCCATTCCGCGCTGGAAAGACTTCTGTTTGACTGTAGGAGTCGAAAAACAAGCATTTTCCCATGAGTTAGCGAAAACTAAAATTTGCATGGAACTCTTTGGCAATCTTCAGCTATCAAAATGAGTTGTCTTTGTCATATTTTACCGTAAGAAGTAAATATACTTCGCTTATGCAGCCACAACAAATCTGATGCGGTGATTTAGATGTTGCCTACGTGTTTGATTCGCCCTTTTTTCTGAGTTTCTATATATGGATTTGGTCAAAGAAAAATGTTGCGTCCCGTTAAAACATCCTTTCAATAATATGTAGCGTTAATACTCGTCATTGAAGGCGAATGTGAGGTTGCGGGCGTTAAATTCAACTCTACGGGTGTCCATATTGTAAACTGTTACTTCCTTGTATGCTGCATTGATTTTGAACTTCAATGACGCGACGTGTTTGCAACAGGGTTCACCTCTTCATAACAACGTGATTGATTTTGCTCCAAAGTGAATTTATTTAGGCCCGTTCACTGACATTGTCAATGCTCACTTACAGCTGAAAAATCCTACTGAAAGGCCGGTATGTTTCAAAGTGAAAACAACTGCTCCAAAACAATACTGTGTACGTCCCAATTCGGGTAAGATGACCTAACTGTTTTGGAGGCAGATCCGTCATTAGCAAGATTTAGGAGTCTTGCCACCGAGCAGTTCGAAAACCATAACTGTAATGCTGCAACCAATGGACGGTGTTCCAACTGATGTAGCTCGTCATAAGTTTATGGTGCAGACATGTTTCTGTCCTCCCGGTGATGTTGATCTCGATAATATTTGGAAGGTGACTTTCCGCTACGACCAGATTGAATTGAGTTTTATCTAATCATTTTCAACAATATAGACCATCCCCCCGAATGAGCTTATGTACAGCAAATTGATGGTAGTGTTCCAACAACGTACGAGTGAACATGGAGGAGCCGTAAGAGAGGAAGTGCCCTCTGCTGTTGCTTTCAATACGTATGTCTACCAGTGTAGCTCGCAGTCTGTCAATCAACTATTTTCTTATTTTATAGTCCACAAAACGCTGGTAATAATCGAGCATCTGCTTCTCCTGGTGGAAATCGCGTTTCGGTAAGTGTGAACGAGATATCTTTTAGCAATGTGATTAGTCTGATCGTGTTTCTTGCCAGGAGCTCGAGGAGAAATTGAAGAGCGAAACTGATTTGCGGCTAAAGTCGGAGAAAGAAAGGGCCATACTTCAGCACGATCTTGACGAACTTTTTAGTGTAAGGCTTATCTGTTTTTTTTTATCAGTTGTTCTCTCATGCGATCGTATGTAATTATAGAAGCATGCCAAACTGCAGCAAGCAATGCAGTCCCCTGAAGGTGGCACTCCTACTATTCAGGTAAATCTGCAACTTATCCAAACATTGTGCTACCATCATCGCAAGCTCGGTTCTCTAATCATTCTACATTCTGTGTTATGACAATTTTTCTATGACAATTTTTCGATTATAGCAACTGCCTCCGCAGTTTATACTTTTTGTTTGCTACCTCGCATCATACAGAAGTCTCTGAAAAGAGTAACTCATTTACCAGGCTTTTTTCAGGTGATCCTGCTTGCAATCGCTGCACTGTTGGTTGGTCTGATCGTGGGCAAGTTGTTCTAATAAGCTCGTCTCCGATGTAGCTACATTCCCGGACCTGCCTTTTATCTCTTCCATACCTATTTACCCTTCGATAGCTTCACTCTCCTTTAGTTTTACTTCGCTTTCTTGCTCTTATCTTTCTTAGTTTTCTTGCGCTTTGGAAGAAATTGTTCTTCATCTCAACTCGGCATTTCTTTGGTTGATGCTGAATTTTGGGAGTACATGAACGTTCGACGGAGGTTCTTACAAATCTCGAGTGTAGCCCACATGAACACACCACAAACCGCATGCGCCGGTTGACCACCACTTTGTCGTCCGGTATTAGAAATCATCTTAGGAAAGATTTATTTTTTTATGACTGTGTTAGGTGGTACACTTGTGCAGCACCTTTTCCTCTGTAGTTCTATGTGAGTCTGATGGTCGTCATGTAGAATTGTGGGTATCGGTGACATCTTTGTTATCATCTTTTTTTGTGTAATAATAATCGCCTGCTTATGTATTTCTGCTCTCGACAGTTTTGTAATATATGTGAAATTCTATTTATGATATGAAGTTCGCGTTTTGCGATGAACTTGTTCGCTGTTTTTGTTGTTGGGATATACCCCGCATACTTTGTTTCGTTCTCGTTCTCTGAGTAATGCTACGTTTACATTTCATTTAGTTACTGGATCAGCTTAAAAGATGTCAGGAAAGAAAAGAAGAAATATTGAGCCTACCGCTGAGGATTTGTCCGGGGTGGAGTTTGAAAGCTCCGAGGAAGTGGAAGTGATTCCGACATTCGATGCTATGGGATTGAGGTACGTTATTTGTATTAGAGCGTTGAAATCCAATCTGCAATGCGCTTGCTGAAGAGAAGGGTTGCTGGTCTTGGGCTTAAAGTATACGAAGAGTACGGATTCTTAATTTGGGAGTTAGCTAGATTCTAGTTGAGTCCACTGTATACAAAATACAGTCAATGCAGAAAGTTGTGGAAAGTAACAATATCATCTGAGAAGCAAAATTCTTTGATGGCATCATGTCTCATCACTTTTTTTTTCAGAGAACCGCTTCTGCGTGGTATTTACTCTTATGGTTTTGAAAAACCGTCAGCTATCCAGCAGCGTGCCATAAAGCCTATACTGAAAGGGCGTGATGTCATTGCACAAGCACAATCTGGTAAGTGTAGTTGATGTTTGCCGCGGCATAACACGCGAAAACAATTTGCTTCAGGTACCGGAAAGACGGCCACTTTCTCTATTTCTGTACTCCAGTCTATTGACACAGATCTCAGAGAATGTCAAGCTCTAATCTTGTCACCAACTCGTGAATTGGCCGTACAAATCCAAAAGGTAGTTTTTTTTAAATTGTCGTGTACGTCGTGTGTTTTGTAATATTCTATTTCGCTTGAACCGGAGAAAAACAATTTTTTTGCGGAGTTTGCTCTATGCATCTTGACAGATAATAAAGATGCATTCGATAAAATCTACTTTCAGGTTGTGCTGGCTTTGGGAGACTACATGAATGTGCAATGTCATGCTTGCATTGGCGGCACAAATATTGGAGAGGATATCAGAAAGTTGGACTATGGACAGCATGTTGTGAGTATTTCACACACCTCTTGACTCATTGGAGCGTTCTAGTCTCTACCGTTCAATTTAGGTATCTGGAACACCTGGACGTGTCTTCGACATGATTCGTCGTCGTAATCTCCGTACACGTTCGATAAAGTTACTCGTTCTTGACGAAGCTGATGAAATGCTCAACAAAGGTTTTAAAGAGCAACTGTATGATATTTATAGATATCTGCCTCCCGGTGCACAGGTAAAGAATTATGAAGAGGTTTGTCTTATGAGTTGATGATGGCAATGTTCAGGTCGTACTGCTTTCTGCTACTCTCCCACACGAGATCCTTGAAATGACCAGTAAGTTCATGACTGATCCTATCAGGATTCTGGTCAAACGTGATGAGTTGACACTGGAAGGAATCAAGCAGGTATGTAAATTTACGCAGTGATAGAGCGGTCAAAGGGGTTTGGCCGTTTCGGCTTTTCGGAGGTAATATCTTTTCTTGTATTTCTGAGTGTGCTGAGTACCAAACTCTTCCCTCCATATTTTTTCTGCCTTTGTCTTCTTCGTTGTAAGCAAGGAATGTGAATAAAGGGAAGCGATTGACTTGGCAATTGTCGTTAGGTGAAGACAGTCGGCCAGTAACACTTACTTCACGTTTGGAGAAATCTTTTTAATAATTTTCGCAGTAGTTTTGGCGGCACTTTCAAAAAGTCGACGGTGAAATTAGGAAGATATTGTCTGCAGACCCAGCTCAGACAAATGCTCCTGAGTTTCGTATACATCCTCCCACTTACAGTTCTTTGTTGCTGTGGACTGCGAAGAGTGGAAATTCGACACGCTGGTTGATCTTTACGATACCCTGACCATCACACAGGCGGTGTTGTTCTGCAACACTCGCAGAAAGGTATGGTTTGATTACAAAGAGGAAGTGATACTTTTGTAACTTTTTATATATATATATCTGAAAAAATGTGTTTGTAGGTGGATTGGCTGGCCGAGAAAATGAAGGAGGCGAACTTTACTGTGTCGTCGATGCATGGCGATATGGAGCAGAAGGAACGTGAACAGATTATGAAGGTAATTGGTATACTATATCATATCCAGTGAAACACCATAGCATTCAGTTGATGAACAAGGAATGCTCATTATTGTACGTGCGCAATTTTGTTATTGCAGGAATTCCGAGCTGGTAACAGCCGTGTGCTTATCTCCACTGATGTATGGGCTCGCGGTCTGGATGTTCCACAAGTTTCTTTGGTATGTCAAAGTTGTATGTTTCAGTAAATCTTAGGACGACTTCCACTAGCATATTGTTTACTTTTTTTCTAAATCTCTCAATCTTCCAGTTGCCAGTTAAGTGTTTCTTCTTCGGAATCTTAGCATACAAACATCCCAGTGGTTACGTGGCAACCACCAGTAATGCTCTCAACTTGTGGTTCTCTTCACTTAGCTAGATTGCAGCTGGTCCACTTTTGAAATTTGCTCATTATTAGGAAAAAGTTGATCGTGCACAATTCTGGTTGAATCATGGTAACTGGGGAAGGGGTTTTTATACTCGTGTCCGATATCATATGAGTTTCTAATCGAGAATGGAAGCAGAAAGGCATTTGCAGGTCATCAACTATGATTTGCCAAACAATCGTGAGCTGTACATCCATCGTATCGGTCGATCTGGTCGTTTCGGAAGAAAGGTAGGATGATTCTCTGGTACTAGAGAGTGTGTCTGATCAGTTACAATCTGTGATTCAGCTCCTTTTTTTAGCTTATTCTCAGTAACTTTTTTCTTTCCAGGGTGTGGCGATCAATTTTGTCAAGCACGATGATGTTCGCATTCTTCGCGATATTGAGCAGTATTACTCGACCCAAATTGACGAAATGCCGATGAATATCGCCGACATGATTTGAGTTTCGTGCCCATTCCTTCATGTTGTTCTCTCTTGCTTCACATCTGTAATTGTTGTCTAATTCATTGTGTATTAGTCTGTGACTGTGACCTCAGAAATGGACATACAGTTGTACACATCAATCTGTTCATCTCTTCTTTTTTAATCCTTGTTTTTCATTGTTAACCACGCGAATCGGTTTTCACTATCTTTCGATTGTTGAGCGTGTGCTTGCGGCTACCACCCGCATCAAGTTAGTCGTCTGGTCAACTTTTTGGATTGTATCCTTCGCTGACTTGCGACCTATATCTTTCTGACGTTCTTCTAAGATTATATTCCTGGAATCCAAGTGTTATTGGAGGCTTAAGATATTTTACAATTGCTGGACATATGTTAGTGTCAATAATAAGCTTTGGTACGTGCCCGTTATCGTGAAGAACTTACAGTGTTGTGGTGGTCGTCCAACAACAGTATGTAAACAACTCTTTTCGCTTGCTGCTGGTCGGGGGTATTGTTGATGGTTGTTGTGCGGACATGCAGAAAAGTGCTCTTTGACTATGAATGGAACTACGTGCGCAATCGTTAGAATGCAGAAAATAGCTGGTTACAAAGTCGTGGTTGCCCGTCAAAGATCTTGAAGTCCCAGCAAGTTCCAACGACATATACTAGGATGTTCTCTTTTACCGAGCTGCTCATCTCACAGGGAGTACATGTTTTGCTCGGCACTTGATTCATCATTGCACGTAGCCTCAAAGAATCGCAGATGTTACAAGGAGTCTAACCAATATATAGGGCTGCGTACTTTGAAGGCAGTATCTTACTTTTGAGGTAACGGGGTCAAAATCCCATGAGGATGCCATGAACTATGGTCACGCTTTGATCTGATCAGGTTACCACTCACTTAGGATCAGGCCCTGCTCAAATCTAGTGCTCTCCTTTGCGCCGAGAAAATTGATGAGGTGGTTCACGGGGGCGATTCAACTCATTTTTTGACGACCCCCTTCGTTTCGACGTCACTTGCTTTTGTAGCCGGGGTTAGGGTAGAGGATCACAGCTCGCTCGCGTTGCTTTTGCAGGGTTTTGGCCTTTGAATGTAGACTTGCCGTACATATTTGAACGGTTTGCCTAGTGAAGCCGGAAAATCGCTTACGCAGTGGCCTGGCAAAACGGATCTTTTCAGATTTTGATAGCGCTAAAGTAGACCCCTAAGTATGCGCGGTCCGGAAGATGCACTTGAAAGGCTTACCAGTGACGCCTACTCATCGAGTGTGCGACTGGTGGAAGAAGCACCTTTTCACCATTTAGCGCGTAAATTGAAAGGTAGGATTGGGGCTACGGTGCGGCTGGAGGTTACCTAACTACCAATCTGAGAGGTCCATTTTGCCGAGCCACTGCCTCCAAAGGCTAGCGTCATTCTTCTTTCCGATGGGTAGCATATGGCTAATGGAATTTGATATACGAAAACAGAAGACAGCAAAAAGTGCCAGAGAGACGTATACGTTCTTAATCTGCTGGGAATGGTCGACTGAATTCGCGAACATAATATGTTCGAAAAAATAATCGCTTTAGCGAATGTACTTTATTCCATCATGTGCATGCATTCTACAATGCACAACAACGGCCAAAGCATTGATCGTTGGAAGCCAGTATAATGTTACGCTTATTTTCATGAGAACGAAACAGAATGAAAGTTGTGAAACGCAGAAGATTCAAATTTTTGGCATTGTTTCATTAGCCTTGGCGTGGACACAACTGGCGAATTGGCAGTTGAACTCGGCAAATATATCTCATTTTGTAACTAAAGACACGAGCACGCTTTGCGTGCTTCGGATTAACAAGTTCATAAGTGCATTCTAACGCATTCGAAACGGATGATTTACTATTAAAAATTCGGTATACACACGTACGGCTCGTCAAAAAATATGAGGTGGAACATGTTTTCTCATGAAATTCTAATAGTAATTTACCGGAATGCGTTAGAACGTAGGTACTTATGAACTTGTTAATCAGAGGTACGCAAAGTGTGTTCGTGCTTTGGTCGGAGTATGTATAGTCGATTCGTTGACCAGATCAACGAATTGACGATGCTTAGCATTCATCCTCCAGACTACGAGATTCGGGAAGCACATGTGCAGCGGTGGTTTAGTGGAACAGAAATATAGCCAGCGATTTTACTCCTTCCTTTTATGTTTTTTTTTGTTTTCCTTTTTGTTTTCAATCTTTTTCTTGCAGAATCAAAAAAGAATCAGCCTCTGTTGTTCCTGCTACAGACTTTGCTAGCAATACCTGCGATAAGTTACATTCAGATATTTCTGTTGTCGTATGCTGGTGTGTCGTGAATGAGAGAAAAAAGCACTGATTTGGTGTTCATTAGTTCATACGAGTTTGTCCCCTCCCCCTCCTTCCCGTATCTCAGTTCTTCGTACAAAGACACCCTGCTTTCAACTCTTCTTGATATCTATATGCTTTGTCGAAGTCGTTGACCGCCCCCTTTCCTCCCTAACTACCCACCTATAGCGAGGGCAGCTGCCATTCGGAAAGGCCTGCAGGCACGTCAACTTTTGATTTCACATTTCATGAAAGCTTTCTTGACGTCATTGCGCTTAGAATGCTCGTGTGCTATTGACTGCGCTGACGGGTGTTTTAGTTTTTATTCGTTCTGCCGAAACGAGCTCGCATTCCAAACACAATTAGGATTCTTCTAGAGTCTCTTAAGAAAATTCCTCTGCATGTCTTAAAACTGCTTTCGAATAGCCTGCAAAATCCTTTGTTATTTGAAGTTAATTACGTACAAAAAAGAGTCTTTTCACACATGCATGTAATGGCATCATTAAAACATACTGCGTGTCACAATGCTTTCATATAAAAAGCTATTGAAGAACGTGTCCTGCGATAGATGACCGCTGCGCGCCTGCCTGCGTCACGTTTCTTTCTTGACTTTGTTGCATGCATTCTTGGAGCAGTACAAGTTACTCATTAACGCCATCATTAATCAGCTTGTCTGAGTTTGAGAAGCTCGTGACACTTTGCACACATTTTTACACAAGTTTGAACGTGAACTTGTAACCTATCTCGTAAACATTAATCATTATTTTGTAGGAAGAAAACGTTCAAGCGTAATTAGACAATGCACGCCAAGCGGTTGTTTCTTGTTTCTTTCTTAGAATGGATGAGATGTTATCTGGTTGTTGTGATGTAACAGGTGCGCACAGCATCCTACTTTTTCCGTGCAATTTTGTGAATTCCTTGGATTTTTTCTTGAAGATTCGACAGCATTGTGGTGCTGCGAAGAGGATGCTCTGCAGTATTGTTTTGAGCACTTGCATATCCTTAGGTGGTCACCGTTTTCAGAGCATTTTTCAGTTTCTGTAGACTTTTCTAGAAACTACGTACCAAATTTTATCGGGCTGCTTGGGTTTGTCGCCAAGACTGCATCCTGTTTCACATGCTCAGAACCAAGCAAGAGTTTGTGAGCATTTTTCCGTTCGCAAACTTCTTTCCCTGTTTCAAGGTGGCACAGCTCATAATTGCTTATCGAGCAACTTTTTGCGGAAATGGGAAGTATCTGAATAAGTTTTGCGCTTGTTGAATTCCAGAAAACTTTTAGTGAACATCCTTGCGTGGAATCTCTTACGTCGGCTCCCACATTCGTGTGGGGATTGCGGATTTTCCTTAAGGATAAACTTGTTAAATCTCCATGTTGCAGCATTGTTCTTCGTACTCTCTCGTTATGTTTATCCTTATAATCAGGGAAGTTCGCAGCTCGCTAGCACTCGAATCTGGAAGCCGACATACTTATACTTGCCGCTTCCTCCCCGCACTTACCCCTCGATTTTTTCCAGATAATGTTTATGTAGAGATAGGTTATTCACGAGCTCACAAAAGATTTTGCCAGTGCTGGATAAAAAATCTATAAAAATCAAATTGAACCTATCTAGTACATGAAAGGCCTGTATTAATGAACACTTTGCAGTAGTTATCAAAAAAACAGTGTCCCAATCTACCGTCCTCGAAGAGGAAAAACTTCCGCGGCTCTTGTTGTCAGGCAGCGTTAGAATATGCCAGTTATACATTTCTATCTGCATTTTTTGATCTCAAAACACTGGTGAAAAAGGCGGAGACTCTCTCTGTGTTTTTGTTGCTGTTATAAGTCGATCTCCTTCTGGTATCAAATGGGTGTGCGTATCAGTTTTGTCTATTTCCTGTAACGCTTCTATAATTGAAACGGGTTGTTGCTTGATTAAAACGGGTTGTTGCTTGAAATTTAATAATAAAAACATTTTTGCATGCAGGATTGCATCTCTTTCAACTTCCAAAAGTTGTGATAGCTTTTGCGATCATTTGAATACGCGGTCTGAAAGTCGAAATCTTTTATCAGTAGCGTTTTTGTTCATCTACACGTGACAAATGCATTTTGATGCTCTCCGCACATAGGTATTATTCACTAATATCGATTCCGCATTACTGTGCCAGAAGTTCCTTGAGTGCTGGTGTCCTTCGATAATGCTTTTCCCGGAAAGCACTCATGAAATTAGATTGTAGGCACTTGCACTTGTGACAGCTGCTTGCCAGGTTTTCCCTTATGCTCTTATAAATTCTTAATGTCTGTGGTTTTTTTTAACGCATGCGGACTTCCTGCGTGCGCCAATGCTCCCTCTAGGCAAATTTATTCCTCATTTTGGGTGCAGAGGCGGAGTAATGCTCTGTTTTATTCCCTTATGATGGACATTGACGTAGGGTATTTCTATCTCTGGATTTTTCATGAAAATCCTTGACCGTAAATGAGTTTTATTTTTTGCAGTAACCCATTTGCAAGATCGAATATGCTCAGGTCGAAGACAACACACGTAAATTCTTTACAACAATTTGGCGCTTTTTACTGAATCAATCAAGTTATAGCAATTTCGTGCCAGGGTGGAACTTTGAACAGAGCTGTTTTACGTGCTAGTCATGCGTGTCTAACACCAGTCAGATTCAAAAGGCTTCGCATTAGGTGAGACTCAACAACATATATTGTCTGTTTAAATTTCATATTGCATCGTCAACATTCGATGTGCCATCTGTTCACTGTTCACATTTGAGTGCTCAGTGCTTGCTGCTCTTTTCGGTCACTCTGAATGTCCGCCCCATATATAGCGTTTTTTTTACTCGGCTGTTCTGCACTGCTTTTAGTTTCTACGTTCATTTTCTGCTGTAGCTGAATTACCACACTTTGGTTTTAATTGCTCGTTTTTGTTATCTACTTTTCTTCCGCGATGATTGTTTTATGTATGACTTTTTCTTTCACCTTTGAATGCTGGTTGCAAATTTGCAAATTCAGTACATTGTTTCTCATTCATCCTGCTTCACCCTTCCAGGTTGGTCGATGCTAGCAATGCCATGAGTCAGTAGCGACACTATTTGCCCGTTGCCATGGCCGCCAAAGAGAAGACGCAATGCTGTGGCCGGAAGTGGTGTGTTGGCGATCCTTGCGGCATTGTATGCGCTGTGATCACATGGTAAGACTTCGCTATAATCCTTTATCTTTGTACTTTTTGACAAGTTGTAGGGACTTGTTTTGAAGCGCTGTTTTCACTTTCTTCATTCTATCAAACAAATTGTTTGAGAAGTGTCTTGCTTATAAACCGCAATGATAGCGAGATATAATCAGTCTTTTAGGCTTCTAATATTGTACAGTCAGTTTGTGGTCTTCCTTGTGTTGCTACACTCATTCGAAGAGCACTGGCTACATACTGCGTTGAATTTTCTGTTATTTGAGATGCTAACCGTGTTGGCACTTCTAAGTCATGCAAAAGTGAGCGACTTTGTTTACAATTTTCGAGTTTTTGAGAAAGATGAGCTGTTTAAGACGATGCTTACTGATCCTGGATCCGTACCTAAGGGCAACGCTACTGAAGAACACATAGAGCGACTACAAGCTGCAGAGGAGTTCAAGGTTAGTCACGAGTTATTCTGCCGTACAATCATTTCATCTTCATCTTTTTGGGCCTATCTAACCAAACTTGATTCACAAGGGTGTTTTTCGCATCCATCATCTTCATCATTTTCAGGTCATCTACAAATGTCAGAAATGCTGCAGTATCAAACCTGATCGGGCACATCACTGTTCTGTGTGCGATCGATGCATTCGTCGAATGGACCATCACTGCCCATGGGTTAATAATTGCGTGGGCGAGGCGAATCAAAAGTATTTTGTGCTGTTCACGGTGAGAATTGCTGCAGTATCATCACGTTTCTTTTGTTGAATCTATTTTTGACTATGCAGATGTACATCGCTTTGCTGTCATTTCATGCGCTTTACTGGGGTATCTGGCAATTTGTGCTTTGTGTTGGAAAAGAATGGCACAGCTGCAGTAATCTCGGTCCACCAGGCACAACGCTGATGTTGGTGAGTCATGGAGTAACATACCGATCCAAGAATCTGGGACGGGCATTTTGAATTCAAGTGTTTGATTTGCAAAATGAAAGTGTGATGGATGATAAGAACATTCCAGATCTTTTTGATGTTCGAGGCTATTCTGTTTGCCATATTCACATCAGTCATGTTTGGTACGCAGCTATCAGCAATTTGCAGTGACGAAACTGCAATCGAATCACTCAAGCGGTAAGTATAATCTTTATCTCTTTCATTATTCGCGTGACCTTTTTTCACCTACGAATAGCTTAAAATCTCCCTTGTCACACGTGTATGACTTCCTAGATCTTATTGCTCAAGAAGATTCCCTAGATTATGTTTATTACACTCCCCATGCAATGCGAGATAATAGAGACTCCATAACTTTACGTGATCATGCTAAGTTTTTTAGTGGAAGTGAGGATCGTCATAAAGTGAAATCGTGGAAGAAGAATATGCAGTCGGTGTTTGGTGGACCTTGCTCGATACGATGGTTGAATCCTTTAGTGGAACCGTACGTTAGCAAGCCAGCATTTGAGTATTCAGTTTAGTCATTTGAGAACGAGTATCATTGGACTGAACATATGATAGTAAAGACTTAATTTTTGCCTTTGTTATGAAGAACGCTATTTTTTGTCTTCTTAAATCATAACGGTTCAGCTTCTGCTTCAAGTTTTTTTCCATCTTTGGCGAATATATTTCTTAACTTGCTTCGAGAGTGCCAATCGTATCTCTTGTAGCCATGACTTAAATTGGCGGCTGCAGGGACTTACTTCGATCTTTAGCTTATGATTGTCCAGTAATTAAATCAAAGATTTTCACAAATTTGACGGGTTGTAAGGATTTATCCGTTTGTTATATTGTCGTTTCTGGTCATGATTGTAAAGTAAATGTGATGGTTTGTTATAAACGCGTTCCTTATCTGTGAATTTGATTCAAGCTGGAGTAATTCTTAGAGAAGATATCTAGAAAACAGTAAGCTAATCTGCACCATTTGTCCGACATGTGTGATTTTGTATGACGTAAAAGAAAAAATGCTAGCGAGAAATAATCAGCGTAGCGATATCTGGTCAATTAACTGATTCTATCACGGGCCTTGGGCATTTATTGAAACGCCTGCTATTATCTGCTCGGCAGACAACAGGCGCATCACTGATATCTGGATCCCTTTCCACATCCATGAACTAAATAACGAATCAATATTTTTTAAATGAACTTCGTAACTAGATGAGGTCACTGGTGACATCCTCGGGTCAGAGGCATCGTGTGCTCCAGCGGATACTGGATCGGCCTGGTCTCTTCGGCTTGATATCGTACGCCGCTGCATTGTACTACGCCTCATTCATCTTGGACTACAGAAACTCTGAACACACAAGGTTCGCTTATGATAACGAAGATAACCAATGACATGGCTTGTTTGGGGCTTCATGAATTTGGGTTGAAAAGTGGTCGATGTTTTAAGCGCTTAGTTATTTTTCAACCTTTTTAGAGTGAGTGAACATGCTCTAATGCCTGGATTGGTCACGGAACGATTTGACAAAGATGGCTTAGCTATAGAATACCTGCAAGGGCTCAAGGAAAATGTGAAGTTAGTGATTCGAGCATTATATCCTCTATCTTTTTTGAATGGCCTCAAAGACACTGTGTTCAGAAATGATGGATAAACAGTTTATGAACTGTGTATATGAGAAAATATGAGATAAGTACGTCTTCAACGTTTTCCAGATACAAGCAGGACTACATTTGCAAATGCATGGAAGAAGTAGGTCTCCAGTGCCACAAGCAGCGCTGGTGGTCAACTGTAAAGCTGTCGGTAAGAGTTTTATATTTTCGAGTCACACGGTCATACAGTAATCTGCTTTTTTTGAACAAAATTCTAGAGGTTTGACAAGGTGAGAGGCACCGCAGGTTCCAGCATATTTACAGTGTGATCCTGTTAACCTCTTGTTAACTCGTTTGAGATTGCCAGCTGCTTTTAAATTATTGCTTGGTTTTCGGGTCGCAAAAGCTTATGAGAAGAGCATTTTTCAAATGAACCGTGTGCGAAAGCTCACGAATTACAGAATGCCTCTGGCACCAATGTGTATGCTGTATTGCGCGCTACTCGAGCAACCGGAGTTGAGGCGATGCTGTTTGCTGTTGATCTGACCCAGAGAGAAGCTTTGGCAATGACAATGGCCTACGCTGCATTTGCCCGGCGTATGCTCTTTCTGCCTTTTGGATTTGAACTTTGCATTTTATTGCATCACTTCTTGCTTTCAAAGTTCTTTCTAGAACAAGTGTATTGGGCACGAGATCTCTTCTTTGTGTTTGTTGACGGAGGTGCAGCAGGCATGGATGCTTGGCTTTCCGAATACCACTTAGTCGAGGGAAATGCTCTACGTGGTGAACCACTGTCCGCGGTAGGAGGAGTGATGATTGGTGGAGTTGTCATGAAGGTAGCACAAAATTTGCAGCCTTTTGTAGTTAATGTCCAAAGTATGAATATCAGAGTCAGAATACACGAGCCAAAGATCCAGTTTTACGCATTGAACTAAATAATCTGAATGGTCAGTTACCGAACTTGGACTTATTCAATTCTGTTGTGCGAATTGCTGGAAAAGGAAAATTTGCTCTTCAATCAACGGTGTACGGTGTGAGAGATATTGAGCAGGTGAGCTTCCTCATGTTTATTGACTTTTTTCCAATCCTTGTTTTTTGGAATCCCACAATTATTTGTGAGGCAGTGCCGTTTATGCTTGCTGCATCCGATCATTTCAGGGCGGCTCAGATTGGCATATGCTTGTCCCATTGCGAGCCATGTACACGCAAGCCTTTGTTGCTGTTGAGGGTATCCATAGCGTAATGGGCAAATATGGTGTCCAGGTTAGTGGTCCTCATTGTTTAATCTACTTAAGAGCAGATTTGCTGTTCAGGCTCTTACGGTAGCTGTACCATCGCTCTCTTCGTATCCACTGAGACATTCAACAAGGCTGCTTGAAGCCATTGCGCGATCATTGAATAATGTATTGGAACGGTTCCATCAGAGTTATTTCCTGTGGGTGTTGTTTTTACAAACGCAATGCTTTCTCGTTTTTATAGCTTTTTGGAACAGTTGCTTAGTGATCTTGAAAATGAAGATTGCAAACTTGAAATTGCGATATTTTCCGTTAAAATTGTTTTTCTCATTTTCCATAATGCTTCTAGAATTCTTGTAAAATTCATTTTATTGGTTCAATCTTCAATTATCCTCAACTATTTTTTAGCTACATTTTATCATCCGTCGATAATTTTGTTTCGATAGCCTACTTCATGCCGATTATAGGAGGAGTTTTACTGCCGCTATTGATGTTTGTAAGTAATAGTATCTAAATTTGTCTACAGAGAGGACGCTTTTAAAAGATCCAACCTTTTAGGCCTATCGAGACTGGACCTACCTTACACGCTTGAGTATACCCAATTCATGGCTTTTGATGCATGCAATAGGTCTATGCACTTGGATGTTATCAACAAAGTACTTCGCAGAATATTGTGACCGCTGCTCAAATGATGTGTTATACTTGGGAATCAGCATGCTAGTGCCATGGGGATTGATTGTACCAACGTAGGTTTTATTGATATTGGTATATCGTTATAAAATTGGTACATCTGCACTTTGCAAATCCTGCGAAAAACGCGAATTTATCAGTTGTGCTATTTTGCTCTGCAGGTATAATGCAGCATTTTTTGCATTTGTTGAATTCCCGGTTTATACTCTTTTCCAGCAGATTGTGCATAGTACTAAAAATAGTCAAATCATATATGATTTTAGACCTGCGTCAGAAATTCCGTCGCTACGCTTTCTTTTGTTGTTGGAGTGCAGTTTAGCTGTTGCAGCCGTTTCATTGCTCAACTTCTCATTAGCACTGTGTTTCTCGTTGGTAGTGGTACCTGTCATGATCAAGTTTACTCAGGACAACGAGCAAAGGTTGGTGCCCCTATTGCTGATGAGGAGCTGATAATTTTTTTAGACCCAGAGCTCTACTGCGAACGGCGTTGGCACTAATATGTCACCCAGCTGGTGTGTACGCACTTTTCCTACTCTATGGTAAACCTTACCTCGGTTACAGTGGCAAGCCTGTAGTACTGAATACGAGTTTGGTGCGTTTTATGTGTTCCTCTTTGTAGTAGTATTCCTGAAAGGATACAGTTCGCCGTATTTCCAAGCGCATTATCAAAGATGGACCAGATTTAGCTTCCAAGGCTATTTACTTCAACGATATTAAGATTTTCAGTTCACCGGTACACTTTTGCGGCTTCTAAAGGAACAGCTGATATACGGGTCGTATGCGTTACCGCTGCTGATGGTGTTAGTATTGCCCATGTGGAACTTGATATTGCCACTCGCTCTGGCCAGAACAAAGTCGACTCAACCGTTATCTGCACCGAACACTGAAGAAGTGTCAAAGGAAAAGGAAAACTAGTACGATGCAATTGTTACAACTGTGCTTATATTCCCATCATTCCTCATCCCATATGTATTATCTATTCCATGACTAGGAGACGCGAGACCGCATTTTGGACATTGCCTTAACAAGTTTGAGTTTGTTCTTCCTTGCTTCCAGAGAGTGGATAAACCTGGACGAGATAAATAACAAGTATAAACCTGCTAAGTACACGATTAAGCTTGTTTAGACAATGTGTGCAATGCGGTCTCGCGTCTCCTAGTCACAGAATGAATGATATCTCCTTCCATTCACTTATTCAATTCTCAATGTTGTTAACACGTTGACGACGAGCCATTTTCTGAAGGTCTGTCCCTGTGGACGAACCGTTTCCGGGCATTTTCACAGCCGGCTGCATATATGTATGCATGCATCTATGCGTGAGATACAAAAATGCAAGTGGGCGGGGAAGCTCCGCCCACTATTGGCAAGCCCCGCTCACTTTTCAAAAATGCTGGAAATCGCTCAAAATCAATGAATTCGTGCAAATTCCAGCGTTTTTGAAAAGTGGGCGGAGCTTGCCAATCGGGGGCGGAGTTTGCCTGACGGTGGGCGGAGCCCGTATAAAAGCTACTTGAGGTCTTTGCGTTCATCTACGGCCTCATCCATGCTTTTTATGAACAAAAAGGGTCTCTGTGAGGGGTATAGAAGTGGGCGGAGTTTGCCAAAAAGGGGCGGGGCTAATACATGAGATACATCTGAGCCTATGTTCGTTATATGAACAAAAACTGAGAGGATTGGACAGATAGTATTGAAATTAAGGCCGCCGCGCACCATTGCGCGGCGTCGTCCACAGGGACAGACTGCCTGCCGCGCACCATTGCGCGGCACTGTCGTCAACGTGTTAATTCGTTTGTTCATGAAGAAGGAAGTGCCTGTATCTCCATTCATCTAGTTATTGATTGCGGGTTAATCTCATAAATTTTTCTGTGAAACATGATCTTTTGGGAAACTGATGATATCTCGTAATCCCTACAAAAAATCTGAAGACACAAAACTGGATTTTCATCTTTAATTCCCACCCATTTATTTCAAAGTTAATTATCTGAAACATAGTGGTAGAAATCAGTACCTCTTTCTTATTTCATGTTATTGGATCGCATACCATCGAAGCGATGAAAGTGATAGTCTCAAATAAGTGCAGTTCCTTCAGGAAAGTCGGCAAGTGAGCTGGCCACCAGGGAAAAGATGAAGGGAAAAATGGGGGTCCCCAAACTCAAAAGCAAAGAACTCAAACTCCAAAGAAACGACAAAGCAAAATAGAAAGGTCAGCTTGGCTCCCATCTTTCGAGCTACGTCCTTAATTCGTTGGAATTGGGGCTTCGCGGATTCGTGCTGCTTTGGATGATGAATGCCACGCGGGTCGCTGAAGTAGTGGTATAGCAACAGGGAATACAAAATACACACACGAGTTATTTGCGGAGGACCGCTGGCACACGTCAGCACCTCAAACTTGCTTTATTGTTAGATACTAACAAATCGAACAAATAGCATGACAACGAATAACGAACGAACAAGTGAGATGTGTAAGTGAGTAAGCTGAACCTGTATTAAAACAGTCTCTTCATAGCACCAAATCATGGTTCTGACTATGACTACTGATAACAAACGAATGAATTACAAAGAAAATAACCGGATAAACAGCACAGGATATCAGAGACATTCGATCAAAATAAAATGGAGACACTTAGGGCGAATCCACTGAGTGTCCACGAGGTGGCGTCGGCGCAACTGAAGTAGTCGTTTTTGGCACGTATTGAAGATCACGGAGGTGCTAGGGCCGGGGATCAAGACCGGCCTCAGCACAGCAGGAGCGGTCAATTGTACACAATACACGGAGTCTCTATTGGTGGCATTGGTAAGTCACCACGATATTGTTCTTCTATAAAGAGAACTTCATTGTTCAAAACCTCTCCCTAGTACATGTAGAGGAATAATCAGTCAGATACGAAAAAGTGTGCAAGATTGTAAAAGAGAAGCTATTGAAGGCTCTGATCCGGCAGAACTGTCCATCTCAGGGTTAATATGGTGGCTGGCTTGCACATTAAATATGAAAACAAATCAAGGCGAGCGCGGAGCATGCTGCCCTTGCCAAGGAAACTGCCCGCAAACGTGCGCGCAAGCGATTGTTACACGCGCTCGGACAAGCTCACAATTTCCATTCCACCATCGGAGGCGGGGTAGAGGACTATATGTCGCCGAAAAGGTCCCCGCAGTCATTTGCAACAAACACGCATCCTTGCTATGCGAGATGTGTTCCTGCAAGAACGCGCGGGACCTTTCCAAATTTGACGACATACTCAGACACTTGCTGCGGCGGCGCGCGCGCTTTGTGCGTGCGGCCCCTCATGTCGCCCGCCGCTGGCCGTCAAATGGCGCGCGCGCCGAGAGTAGATGGTGCGCGCGCCGCGGGTAGATGGGACGCGCGTGGCGAGTAAATGGAACGCGCGTGGCGAGTAAATGGAACGCGTGTCGCGAGTAAATGGAACGCGCGCCGCTAATACATGGCATACCGCTCGCAGTCTGCTACTTCTCTAGGATGGTTTTTCTTGCTCTTTTTCGTGCTGTAATGTGTCTTTTAGTGTAATTGAGCAGTCTGTGTGATTTGGGTAATCATTTTATTCGTTATCAGTAGATAAATCTTATACAAATATAGCTATGTCATCACTAGGCGTGGATCACAGCATATAAGAGACCATAAAGCAGAAATAATAACAGAAACAACAACCAAACATGGAAAAGATCGCTTTGGGAGCATAGGTAACATGATAAAGATTAGCGACGGTTGAAGAAATAGCACCAACAAGTAGTTATTGCCAAGAAGCAAAAAAACTAAACAGAGACATCAAAAACTTCTGTACAAAAGGAACAACGACAAAGCGAAACTAATAGAAAGAAATAACAGTACTTTTCCTTTTCCTATCTTCTTCTGCGCTTGGGTGGTGGATTGCGTGGCGGATTGAGTGGCGGATTAGGTGGTGGCAAGGGAGGTGACGCGTTGGGCGGGAGGTTCTCGTCCGGTTCTTCCAGTTTGGGTTCCGTATCTGCTGCACTCGGGAACTGCTTCGATCATTCCATCGACTTCTCGGTTGCCTCGTCGTTAAAGAAAGCATCGACAGTTAAACGGATAAATTGGTTCAAAGAAGTTCAAAAGCATACCTGATTGGGAATCCACTTGCCGGCTTCGTATTTGTAGGCGCGAACGTCGCGCCTGAACATATACGTTGAATGTAAATGCGAATAATGTATAAATACCAAAACTTACAATGCAAGTTGAAGTGCTTTGAATATCTGCGGGCGCCACTCTGCACGTTCGTTCCTCAAATCCTCCAAATTCGCTCTACGTTCCTCTTCGTTCGCTCCAAGGCTCTTGTAGAAACTAAAATGTTGATATTTTTTTTTGTCAATGAAGTCAAGTACATGATCACACTTACGTGGAGTTACTGAGATCTTGATCAAGCCATACTTTGCGTTCATCTTGCCCGTAACCGAGCATGTTCTCTGCCATATCTGAAGTGTGCATCCCCATAAAAATAACAGACAAAAGAAATTCCCACCTTGCAAAATGTTTTCTACAGGTTCCGGTAAAATTTTCAATTTGTCGTCTCTTCCGTTCCTGCTGTGAAGTCGAATGGAGTACTCCTTTATTTTTTCTGGCGGATCCGTTATCTAAAAATGTGATTTGAACATTGCAATGCATAACTCAACAGATTTGGAGACTCACGCGCGTTAGTAGATGACGGTAAAAAGAACATAACTGCTGGTAAGGTGGATCCTTTGCGCGTGGCTCCCATCGCGCGCCCAATATCCCGAGGTTTTTCTGAAACCAGATTTTGAGTGGAATCGCTTCAATTATCATTACCTTGACAAATGGCGGTTCCACATCGAGATTCCATGACCTGGTGCAATTGAGGATTGAAACAGATGTTTGTATAGTTGGCGCCGTTGTCAATTCAGTCACATTAACGATGCGCACACATTTCGAGGTGATTGCGCGTCCTACTTCAGCCTGAATTCACATATCTACCTTATATTTTCATTGCTAGCGTTCAAAACTTACCGTCAGTCTGTTGACTATACTCCATAAGAAATTTATGTCCGGTCCGACGAGTTGGTTTAAGCTCCCGTACGTGGGTGTTGCTTTCGCTGCCATCTCCGATCGAACGAACTCCTGCAAAACATGCCATGCAGCAGCAGTACAGTTGCGTTTAGAGAACTTATATAATAGGTGGCTTCATTAAACTTTCCTTCTCTAATGCTCTTCAAAATAACTTTCGCGGCCTTATCCAAATTCAGTACTCCTCTTTCGATGCAATCGTGCAGTGTCGCGGGGAGAGGGGGAGACTGTTGCCTTTGAGTGCGGGTCTCTTCCACGTAGAACTCGCGGCGTTCGTACACATTTCCTAAATAGTTAGAAATCAGATGTGCGGCATAATTTGCAGCTTTCCCCTACCTTGTGGAACTTCTTGTTCCACCCCAAAAAATACGTCCTGTGAAGCAGCTACAACATCTTCTACAACAGGCGCTCTGAAATATTTCAATCAATGAAGCACAAAGGGCATATAATGCAAAGACTTACTGAACGACACGTGGCGATGTTGAGTTAAGCAATGTCCGAGGTTTGGCGTGGACCCGCCCCAAGTGACTTCATCGACTACCATCTCTAGAGGTGCGCTATGGATGCTTCTGAGCTCAGAATCCAACCTAATAACAACAGTGATTTGTGGATTCTTCTCCGGTACAATATCACACCTGCTAAACAAGACTTCAATCATCTTTTCGGAGGGCTTCAGTTGGCTGTAGATGGCTCCCGCAATTATTGAATTGAAGTGCTTGTTGGCTTCTAGAGGGGGTAAACCTTCCACTCGCAGGTAAAGCGGCCACATCTCTCTCCTTAACCATAGATTATTAAAGCACTGTTCATGAAGGGCATCAATAGGCGAACTTGGACACTCGTTTTGGTACGAATCCATCCAAGGATATTGTCAGAAGAATTCTTAGACGTCGTTGAGCAAATTCGGCAGGAGTTTCTATGCTATGGTAATAGCCCTTGAATAGTCTTATATCGCTACGATCTTCTGTTGGAACTTCCTAAATCTCCTGTTTAGCAAACATTCACACAAGTAAGGGTAAGCTAAATGGGAATTACTCTGTTATTATGGAGCATTTGGTGCATCGTGATGATCTTTTCCAAACCGCGTACAAGAACATCTGTTAGTTGTGGAATGATATTGATGACGTGTACTTCCGTTCTTTGCAAGCGCTTGGATCTATCGGAGTTTCGAATGTTGCCAATGAACTTTTCGACTGTAAGGTATAAAGGTACCTTCCATCTCTTCAAGGTCTTCCTGTTCGGGCGCGATTCTAGCTTGTTCTCTCCTTTCTAGTTCAGCGAGATGAAGACGAATTTGTCTTCTCTCCTGACTTCGTCCATATATATGTTCTTGCACAGCTTCTAAAGTTGGGATGTGGCACAGAAAAGGTAACACTTTATGGTAAAAAATGCCTCCATATGTTCGTAATCCTTCCTCTCTTCGTGGAAACATTCGGCGGTAAGACAATGACATCTTTTCTGCAAATAAAATCATAGATAGTCCATAGTAGTAGTGAAATAAGGGAGCGAACGTTTCAGACAGAAATAAACAAAAAAATAAACAAATAACAATAAATAAATAAACAAATAATACTACAGAAAATCGAAGTATGCATTCACAAGAAACGACAAAAAAATCTAGAAAAAACCAAATTCCGTTTCGTTCCTGCCCTTGAACGGAAAACAGAAAAGAAGTTCGAGCCTTTCCCGAAACTCATCAGCAAGGAAGAAAGGCTTCACATGCTATCGATAAGAAAAAACCATAAAAAAGTTTTGAAAAAAGGCTTGATAGTGAGCAATAATGAAAATAATGGAAAGCAAAGTCAAAATTGAAGAATGTAATTCTGAGACAAAGAAACAAAATCACAAAAGCGAACAAGTAAATTAAAAGTATCATAAAAGAAGAAAAGAGAAGCAAAGGATTCTTCTCTTTTTCGCGCTCCAGCGCCAAATGGTGGTGAGCGAATTCAAATATGGCGTCTCCCGCGAAATCGCGTATAGGCGCGCCGGCGGCCGTAATAGGGCGCGCCGCTCGCCGGTTGCGAATGATGGCGCGCGGCTCGCACTGCAGCTTCAACTATGGCGCGCCGCTCGCACTGCTGTTTCAATTAAAGCGCGCCGCTCGCACGACAGCTTCAAATAGGGCGCGCCGCTCGCACGGTAGCCCTATTATGGCGCGCCCGCCGCCGCAGCGAGTGTCTGAGTATAGTCCTCCACCCTTGCGGCATGCCGCATTGCTGTAAGCATAAGGGTCCTGCAACGACTCTAGCCTTGGTAGAAATCGTCTAAATTCAAAAGGGAGGGAATCGGGAAATGCTGGTTTTGGCGCTATTCCACTTAATGCAACCCAAAAATGTAAATTACGGATTTCGCTGAAAATTCGCCTAGGGAGCTTATTCGACTGCTGATTATGGAAATGATGTTCATATCGCATGGTGGGATTTTTTGGAGAGGTTACGGTAGGCATACGGCAGTGGCGTGCCGCCCCCCCCCCCCCCCCAAGAATGGGTCGCGAAATTTTTGAAAGTTACTTAAATGCGTTATAAAAATGTGCAAGCGACTTGTTTTTACTTGTAAATAATTAAAATAATTTTTAAAAATTCAAATTAGCCTTGTAAAAATTTTTTTTTGGGGGCGTGGCTGCCGCCAGGCCCCCTTTTTCTAAAATTTTGGGGTCAAGGGGCCGCAAAAATTTTGAAAAGCATCCCAAAAAATTTTCGAAGTGCGTGGCTAGCGACCCGCACCTTCATCCAAAAATTTTTGTCGCGTCCCCCCCCCCCCCGAGCGGAAATCCTAGGTACGCCACAGGCATGCGGTATGGGGTCAAAATCTCAAATTCTCTAAAACTTTGCGTAGGGGGGGGGTTATTCGGCATGCTGATCACGAACATCACATTTTTTCCGCATGAAAGCCTCTCCCTGTATGGTTACGGTAGGTGTACTGTAGGTGTCAAAACCTAGATTTCGCTGGAACTTGGTCTGGAGGGGTTATTTAGCACGCTGAACATGGATGTCAGATTGAATTTATACGGTAGCGCCATTTTCCCGGTAGGTACACGGTACATGGGTGGAAATTTCAAAATTGCTTAAAACGCTGCCTAGAGCGGTTTTCAAGCATGCTGATAACGAATATCAGGCTTGCTCGATATAACAACGCTTTGTTGTGGAATTATGCCAATTTGTAGCGATCAGGGAAGCATCTTCCCCGCTTTTCAGACCAATTAAGATCCTAAAAATCCACGAGAAGGCCTCATAATCGATATAAGCGCGGTATTCGTGATGAGCAAATCAGATAACACCCTGCACAAAGTTTCGGGCAGATCTGCGGTTTTGACCCCTTACCGTATACCTACCCTAACCGTACAAGGAGAGGTTTTCGTGTGGGAAAAGTGTGGTACTTGCGATCAGCATGTCGAATATTCTCCTACCGTAACCCCTCCATAAGGCGTTTTCGAGAGGAAATGAATATGATATTCGTGGTCAGCATGTCGAATAACCCCCCTACGCAAAGTTCTAGCAAGTCTGAGATTTTGACCCCCCATACCGTATGCCTACCGGGACCCCTCAAAGAAAGCCTCACCATGCAAAATAAATATCATTTTCGTGATGAGAAGGTCGATTAACCCCTGTGAGCGAATTTTCAGCGAAAGTGATTTTCAATTTTTGGGTTGTATTAAGTGGAATAGTATCGGTTTTCGCCATTGTCGAGCTCTCTAAGGTGGATTTTCGGAATCAGCGCGTCCGATTACCTGGTGAGCGAGAAATGAGTCGAAGATTTGCCGAGCTACTGCTTTTAAGCGTCGGCATAGATCATCTGCGAAGTGTCATCGACTTTGAGCATGTAAAACTGGCCTCTATTCAGTTGATTCTAAATTGTATCTCATATAACACAAACATATCTTACAGAAACTCCTCCTTCAGGTTCTTGAGAGGTGCACTCTTCACCTCGCTCCGGCGTAGAACTCAAATGCTATCCCTTAGGCTGAAGCCGCAGCTACCACAATTTAGGATTGATGAATGACGATAAAAAGGCTCATTTTCGCTTACTCCATCTCCACAGAAAAATCTCAGCTCTTTCCAGGTCAACTTCGATTGACAACAAGTACCACGTGCAATAAAAGTGCAAAGGCTTCTTAACCTAATTGCGCAGAAACTGCAATGAGGGGACCCTCGCGGATCTATGGAACAAATAAAGTGAGGTGAATTGCGAATAGGCAATATCGCGGAGTCTTACCACAAGTACCAGAATATTTGCTTATCTGAAAACATATCCAATGCTGTTTAGAGCTCTGCGAGTTCCAATAATGGACCAGGCCTCAGTGGAAAAGACAATTATGCGTTTAAAATGGAGTGATGGAGGGCGATGTGCAAGTTGAGGAACATGGAGAAAGCGGATTTGGCTTCTTACTTCCCAGTCAAGCCTCAACAGTTTTCATCACTTCGTTGTCGCACAAACAACAAGCAAAACTCAACGACTGCAGTTATGTCCTCTACCCATGGGTAAGGACGCGGACGTTTGCAATAGACCGTGTTTCCGCATGGATGGAGCCTAATGGCGACTATTCCTCTACCCCTAAGAACTCAAAAAACAAATGATATCTCGATGTACATACATCCACTCTAGAACCGACGTAACCTGCGTTCTTGTCGATGAATCTCTGTGAAAACCTCCAGCGTTGTGCACATGCTAGCCCAACATCACTCAAGACGGCTTTCGATCTCGTTGATTTTAGAAGAAAATTCCAGAAGAAATTTGAAAAGCCCAACTGAAAGCTGGACAATCAATTGATCACTTGCTTCAACCATTAACCCATTCTTCGATTCCATAGTTTGCACATGCACATGTATTACTTTAAATAAAAAAACTTGCAACACGTACGACCTTTCTTTTGTTTGAAGAGATATGATCACTGCAGTGCGCTGCACTGGGTTGTTGATATTGAAGGGCAAGCTCTAACTGTCGTAGATTATCCAAATAATCTACAACCTTTAGCAATGGAGATCTATCATGTATGTTGTTGTATGTTATGTTATGTACGCTACTGTTCACTGACCACTTAAGCCGCCAGGTCACCCCTCCACTGTGCTTGATAGTCTACTTGGCGGCGCCTACTTTCATGTAGACAATCCTTCATGCTCTATGATACTGTTGTTTACCAGAAGTGAGCATTTAGGTTATCCACGCCTAAATCAGTGGCATAAAAGGGCCCGAATGCTCAGTTTTGGTGTTGGTTCGATTGATACCACTACCATCAGCGGCTGTTCACTGTTAATAGTCAGCGGCTGCTCCGCTACTATCGAATGAAAAGTTATTAACGTAGTGGTACCGCTTGGTGTATACCAAACTAACCTTACCATATGGTAAGCACGCTTCAAAACACTGAAGCTCATTTTTCAGAACCCATGAAGTTCTAGAGTGTGACCAGTACATCGGCTGTACAACAATGAAATCAATAACCATCCATTCTTAGGCCCGTATGCACGTACGTTTCCGCTGGAAAGGCGAGGGGATCTAAAAGGGGATGCGTCATTATCTCGCTACTCTGGTTATCTTTCGTTTTTTGCCTTC